CTATGCTTTTGGTCAGAGCTGTATCGGGGTTGCGGTCTCCATTTCCGCGTTCCCTCTCCTTGGCATGGCGCAACTTCTCCTGAATACTACTAACTTCGACTTGTGTAGTCCGTCCGTTCTTTTTTCTCTCCCAGCTACCTGCTAGGGGACGTTGATCCCTCTCCCTTCGTATGGCCATCATCCCGATCGGAACTCAAACTCCGCTTCGATTAAGCGCCTTGCAATCGAAACTGCCACGCGAAGTTGTTGGGTGAAGATGGCGCGCGCACAGGCTGGGCGTGATCGGTCGAAAGTTGCGTGACTGGGTCAAGTGAGAGTTCAGTCGTGTTACACCACACAGGCCCTGCAGAGTGAATTACGTCCAGTTATCGGACGTTATTGTCTTATGCCCACATTGCTCCCGCATTCCAGTGCGCGGCAGGAGCCCCGCAACCAGGTCACGGCAACACCAGAATTGAAATCGTCGAACAAGAGGGTAAATTTAAATCTGCCTCTGGAGCCGCTACCGATCATGTTGGAGACTGGTACCTTTACTTACACTGGCGCCTTCCGATACGCACGCAACTGTTGGATGAACATGTTAGTCTTGTGGTGTTCGGGGCTACAGGTCTGCTGCCCGTGAGTCTTTGAGTGACTTCACGGGTGCATGCAGTGGGACCCAAGGCCCCCACAACAAGCCACGCTGTAGATGTGCTGGATCTGAACAAGAGGCGGACTCGGTTAACGGCGCACGCTAATCCAGCAGCACAGAGTCCGCGCCAGTACATTCGTGGATTACTACCTCATCGTCATCCCTTGCAAACGACGAAATAGCATAATATGAGGTGTGGGGGGAGGTAAGTTACGTATACTTATGCGGGATAAACTTCATCGGTGGTGTGCTAATGCGGTCCTGTTGAAGAATCGGCTTCTGGGGTCCGTTCAACCCCCTGTAGCCTGGGACCCGGCTTCCAAGAGTAGAACACTAAGCAAACAATCATGTTATGCATAAAATTGAAACGATTCACAGAAGTCCACGCGGCGGTATTGGGGACAAATTATAAAAAATAGACGGTGAAAGACATGAGGGTTTTGTGAATGGTCGAAAACGGGAGATAAAACATGGTAGAGGCGGAGTATCATGTCGGCGGGCAGAATAAGATCTCTGGAATGTGGTTGCCTTCGGTAGAGCAGTTGGTCTGGCTCTTGTCACAGTAGTAGAAATGGAAGACAACGTGCTTGGGCACAGCGAGGGGGAACCAGGAGGCGGAGGCGGGCGGCTTCTCACCCTGCTTCGAACGCCTTGTCTTCACTCGAACCTCTGTGCGGGCGACGTTCATATGCACGTAACACCTTGTATGTCTTCCTTCCTCCGGCCTCACAATCACGACGTAGGTCTTGCCTCCTTTTAGCTGCAAGGCAGAAGACGTGAGGGTACAGAGTCTAGCCCGCAAGAGATAACTGCCCGTAAATGGAGAAGACTGGCTAAGCACCGGAATAGCCTGTTCAGCGCTTTCGAAATCGTGAAATCGTCAGAAATGGTACAAATAAAAGGACAACCGACAATTGTAGGGGGTGCCAGCCAATCACCGATCGGTGACTCAAGTCTGGAGGCGCCAGATCAATCGATTGACAGCATTATCATCCGGGGTCCAGGTTTCAACCAATTCTCGGCCTGTTTTGCTTCGGGTGTAGGCGATAGTCTTAGTGGCTGAGAGAGTCAAACCTATGACACGTTTCGTAGATGTAGGTATTCCCTTGTGAGGATTCGTTGCACAGCCAGCCCACTTTTGTGTATGCGTAATCCTAACTGGCGTCCAGTCTGCCCTGTTTGATTACAAAGACAATTTCGGCACGGGATGCGATACGCTAACCCAGATTGGTCCTCGGCCTTTAACCGGTCTTTGGTTTTCATGACCTTGATGCACATAGCGGCTCTGGGCCGGTGGGCAATTCCACTGCCGCTAGCCTTCCAATCCATTCTTGGCGATATTTCACCTTGCTCTGACTCACAGCCCGTCAGGCGGCGGTTTACCTGGGCTGCTTGAGGGAGACTAAGCTTGAGTGACTGGTTAAGAGGAAGATTTTAAGGCCGATGTTATAGCTAGGCATGAGTTGGACCTCAATTCCTTTGCTTTTTTCGATAACCGACGCATGTAGAATGCTAAAAGTAATCGAGTACTTAAAATTCATGACATTGTGTTCATTAAAAAATGACCGCTTAAGTGTTTGGGGACTGAAAAGGAGATAGACCATGTAGCCTAAAATCCTACTGTTTGCCGGGGCGTGGCCACAGGCGAAGATAAGCAGCCCCTCTGGCGAGCTACATTTTGCTAGGTACTTAATCAGAATAAAGTAGACATCACAATATCCTGCCTACTCACCATGATGGGCTTCGGGAAACGAATCTGAGCCACGGGCCGTGAACCGCTGCCGCGAATAACTGTCTCGGTACTGCCTAAAACATGCGTGCGATTAACCAACAGCTTGAGGCCTGATCTGCCACCGGATGCCCGCGAGTTTGATTGGTCGAGACTTGAGGGCAGAGGTGGTCGGTAGCTGTTGCTGCCACCACCTCCTCCGCCGCCAGAACGCAGTATACGACGTCGCGTGTCGTCGCCGGGACGCGGAAGGTACGCAGACTGGGTACTCACACTGTGCAGTTGATGCGAGTGACGGTGGATTGAGGTGGAGACGCCAACCGTGTGGAAGCGTGCGCCAGTGTCGACGTGAACAGTTTGGCGAATACTGCAACGCCGTACCTCGATTTTCAGCTTGAGACTGCTGCCTCTTCCAACCGGCTCTGAGACACCAATTCCGGCCAGGAAGACAGTAGAGGAAACCTTTGGCAAGAGGAATATGCGCATGTAATCTTAGTGCAACAGTAGAACTTGTTAATATCGGTTGGTTTATAACCACACCGCAAACTGTCGTACAAGGTATTATTTTCACTGAATATGTTTGAGTAGCATGTGTTTTAGAACGCGTTTAGTCAGGTTGTAAGGCATCTATAAGGCTAACAATTCGATTGTGCCCAATTTCCCATTGTAAGCGGTTAACAGCGCGTAGTCTGGAAAGGGGATAATAATAGCAGCAAAATGTTGGCTGCTGAAAACTGCGATTGGCTTTTATTCTAAAATTCTACAATCACAATGGTAAACCGCGATGAAAACGACAGATTATTTTTTACCTGAATGACTAAGAGGTGCAATTGAGACCTAGTTTGAGACAACCGTAGTCAGGTCCACAGTCTGTGACAAAACAAGAAAGATGCTTGTAGGGAGAACCTGTTCTTTACACAATTTGTGGTTCGACAGTTCGACCGTCGATTTCGACGATGTCCACCGTGTGCCCCACAGCTGCAGCGGCGGTGGGAGCAGGGACGGTGACTTGCGCAAGGGTTTATAGTGCCGGTAGATTTGCGCTGCATCTGCCTAGACTCTCTCCTCCTCCCCCGCCTGGACCCGGTGTCAAGACAGAGTCAAGAAAACCGGAGACGGGGGAGGCCGCAGGTGGATGACTCGGACGGATCTTCGCCTTGGCGCTCCACTCCGCACCCCATGGCCCACACAACAAACAACCAGGATTTTAGCCAACACAACAGAGATTTGGAGGCTGGCACGGCCGAAGCCGCACCTAGGCGTGCCGCCAACGCCTGTCTCGGATCCCACACTGTGGTGAGAGTGCCATAAAGGCCACATTAAAAAGGAGCCATTGCAGCCTGACTCTCAGACCGCCTCCGGTCAAGGAGGAGGTCCAAGGTACCCCGTCAGTTGACAACCTTCTAAGCCACGGCTTTTACCGCACCGTGATAGCTTCAAGCGCGTCAGATTGTTTATAGTGAGGAGAAAGTGCGCTGAGTCGTCGACCTCACTCTCCCTTCCCACTCCCACACCCCAGCCGCTGTCCGAGCCGGTCAGCAGACTGGAGTGGGGAGTGGGCGCGGTGGCTGTCATGGTCGACTGACCATGCCTGCGCGCGCCACAGCACGACCTGGCCCCCCATACACACACAAACACCAGGATTTCACACAACGGGGGTTGAACGGCGTGTCTCTCGCTTGCGTGAGAGTGCCGTGGAAGGTGCAGTTGCAGCCTGTCCCCAGCCCACCAGTCCGCCACTACACACAACACACACACACACAACGTGACGAACTGCGTGAACCGAGAGCGGGCCTCAATCAGCAACCTTCCTATCCACGACGCTTGACGTTTCGAGATGGTCTCGGACACAAGTCACCCGTGCAGCGGAAGCCGCATGGGGACCGAGTCGAGATGCACACTTCCCACTTGCGTGGGAGGCGGCAGTTGAGTGCATGAGGTGTGTGAGGGTTGATGTCTGGTGGGATGATGGTGTTAGGAGGTAGGGAGTGAGGGAATGTGTGGTGAGACCGGCGGTTGTCTACCGCAGGTCGTCGTGGATGCGCATGTGGCCGAATAGACCCATGCGATGCGTGAAGGTGCGAGGGCAGTGTGGGCAGTGGAGGCGAGTGCGGTGGGTGTAGGTTGGTGCTCCAGGCACTGGTTCGCCAGTCTCTTTGCGATGGATTCGCAAATGACCGACCAGGCCGATGCGTGAGGTGAATGTGCGTGGACAGTGTGGGCATGAGAGGTCGGCGGTGTCGGTGTCAGCTTTAGAGGAAGCAGTGGTGTTGGTGGCCTTGGTCGGCGCGTGTGACGATGGAGCGAGGATGGGTCTGGGCGTAGTGGATGTGTTGGATGTCGTGGCTGTATCGGAGTTGTGGTACAGGACACACGAACATATTACGCTAATATCAAAAGTAGCGCACACCTGTTAGCGCAGTCAAACTGCGCGAGCAGGCCCATCTACGACGACCTTGAAAGAGTTTATGCCTCTGTCAGTGTTTAAATGTCGACAACTAGAGTAAACGAGCTGCGGATGCATGCTACTGATTGCCAACGCAAGTGCTTGCGTTTCATAATGCGGCGTGCGTTGGTGGACTCGGCTGTGCTGTTTTCGAGGTTGCATGAAAACTTGCAGAAAGTGTTAGAGCATGTAGGGAGAAATAGCGATGGCCTTTTAGAAGATGAAGATGCGATCACTGGAACAAGAAACTTATTGGCCTGACGTTTCGGATTCTTATTCCAGTGATCGCATCTTCGTCTTCTGAACTGCTATCTGGAACTCGCCTGTTCGCCTCTATCAGCGATGGCCTTTTAGTCGCACCATTCAAACATACCATACCTCCAGCTCGGATGAATGGGGGTTCGAGCCCGAGTTCTTTGGTTATTGTACGCTAGGTAGTGCAACGCTCCACCGTTGCGTCACGTGTCAGTCGTTCTATCAGACACGATTGGAAATACTGACGGCACGGGAATAAATATCCGGTAGTAAAATTATACCTATATCATGCATCGCTTTGTGTGCATATCAGCCAGGCAGAAAATCTCTGTTACTTTACTTGACGAATTTATGCTAAAATTTCCAGTCAGTAACTACCGATAAAAATTTTATTGATTGAGTAGTCAGCTTAATCCACCAGTCCTCTGGTTCAAAGAAGGTGAGGCAGCTACAGCAGCGGCGCGACATTGGTTTGTGAGTAAAATGACCCATTTATAGGAATAAAAAGTCCTTCTAAAAGTCTACAGGAGAGAGACGGGTCAAACAGCTATGATCGACAAGACCCAAAGCATTTGTGTACGCTTGCCATCACACAGCTGGATCGTCGAATCGGTCTTCACACTCCTAGGTACACTAGGCGAAGGACATCGCACCTGCTAATCCCCTCATTTTAGCAAGGGTGACAGTCCGACCGTCGAGTCCGATGATGTCCACCGTGTGCTCTGCAGCGAGGTGAACCGGGCACGGTAACTTCAGCGTAAACAAGTTTGTAGTGGGAGTGGACTTGCCCAGCGTCCACCGCACTCTCACCTCCCTCACATTGGCTCGGTGTCAAGCGATAGTCAAGAAGACCGGAGATGGGGTAAGACGCTGGTGGCAGGCATGGTCTTATCCCCACATAGGCGTGCCGCCACACCCCCTGGTCCACAACAAACACTTCGCCAGGGTCTTAACTAACAACAAAATCAACGGGTCAGAAGAAAGAAGGGATGAAACAAGTCACTGGGCAACCATTCACACGACCCCTATACCGAGCGGCAGCGCAAACGTATCCACTGGCAGGAAACCAGGTGCCAAAGAGTCGCCAGCGAACACAAAGCTCTGATTTGCACAATCATTGCATGGTAGACTCACAATCCCTAAAGCCCTTTTAACAACAGTAGAGGAACGCTCACGCACTCAGTATCAGTGTATTTCAGGGAAAAGTAGGTGTTTACCTTTGAAAACCCTATTGGTTACATGTGAAGGAAGTATATGGAGAGAATGGAAAGGAAGTAACATGAAAGACATACAAAGGGAATAACAAAAGCTGCACAAATAAACACAGAATTTCAGCCGTTAACAGCACTTAGAGGCATATGAACTCGGTTGGTTGATTAAATGCAGCAGACGGTTGAAGCACACCTAAGATACCGGAAAAGAAGTAAAATTTTTTTTAGTCTGCAGGCATCGTGGTGAATGCGAGCAGCAGTGAGCAACGTGGTTTGGAAGTAAGAAATTGTATAAACATCTTTTACTTGAATGCTGGTAGTAGCATCGTAATAACACTAAATTTTCAACCTTGGCTATCAAGGTGGCTGTAGTCCGGCGTTTTTGTGGTTCTACAAGATACACACGTTCCGCTTTGTGCCTTAAGACTCAATCTCGAGTCCTACCAGCAACCGCGCAGTGGCCAGCAGTATAGGCAGAAAAAAACTACTGGCAATTAGACAAGAGGTTGGGATGGCTAGCTCTGGCTAATTGGTCCTCACCAGCTAGCCGTATCCACTCCAAGGGTTTAGCTATTCCACAGGTTCGACCTGGCTTGCTGTTGGTCAAAATTCCAAGGCTCTAACGCCTAAGTAACGAGTCGGTTGTCCTGTTGGTTGCTATCGGATATGTAAATAATGGCAGAGGGATACACATCGATCACATTACAGTCACTCTTGCAAATTCTATCTTTTCTTTACCCCTGGCTCGAAGTGAATGCAGACTTATGCCTGCCGCAAGATGTAAAGCGTAGCGGAGCCATTAATGGGAGCTGGGTGCGAGGCAGAGGTCAAACCTAGCCACCTTCATCTCGAAAGGTGGGGCGAAATAACAGTTAGCTGATGTATCCCCTATCTGCGTGTCATGTACCGCCCTGAACAAAAATTCATGTTGCAATTAACGATGTTCAATGTTACCCCACGAGGCAGTTCCAACGGAAATAATTTGCTCAGCATCTACCGCACTTTCTCGTCTTGCTCCCAACGTCGAGGCAACCTCTGTTTGACACGACAAAGTAGCTGACAAATTTAAGCGGACTGTCTTGTCGTGTTACAGACAATCTGATTTCTATTTCGGACGCGGTCCGGTTTCTATGTAGATAAGGATGCCCTGAAGAGCAGCATGAATTTTGTTCAAATGTACACGCAGTTTTTCTAGTGAAGGGTTAACTGTACCTCGAAGGCAACTGCCTCAGGCTCTTGCCAGTAGCCCTCCTTTGACATTGGAACCATAGCGTGAGATGAGCGCAAACAGCGTACAAGAGGCGGTCCAGAACGTGGAGCCGCGGATATCGCCAGATTAGTTGGAAGGTGATTGGTAGAGGAGACGGGTTTATCGGCATCGCCATCACCAACGAGCACAGCAGGGGGGTTGCCATACGAATCACTGCCCTTCCTGGATAATTCCTCCTGTGAGAACATCTTTGTTGCAATAAACACCGAGATATCCCTTTGCTAGGAGAAACAAGTCAGTAATCAGGGGTTAAAGACGTTCAAGAAAAGCTTACAATTAGAGCTGTTTGGGGTTTTTTTAGGAGGTTGGCGGATGCTATGCACTAACCAGTCCAGGCAGAGCTATCTTCAATCTGTAAAAATCAGCCGAATATGAGCTACAGGATGCAGCAAATAGGTAACTCTAATTTTTGGAGCTGTCTGTCTTGGATACGTAAAATAATCGCAATAAAGTAATCGTTCAAATAATACGCATGACGAACGGCGCAGCTGTGAGATGTTCAGCTCTTGTGCAGCAGTAAAAAACGTGGAAAAATTGTCTAGATTTTTAGCTAGTATTTTTCATATAAAATTCAAACTACTTGTATTACTGCTAATTTCGTAGAATGGGCATTCTGCAAGCTATTGTCCTTGATCCAAATGTTCATTTTATTTCCGGATTTAAATCTGAAAATTCTTTCCCCAGAGACTTTACTGCATTCCCTGCGCTGAATAATTTCTGAAATTATTCGCTTGATTATTCTCTGGAGTTTGTCTGTCAGGAACCGCAGAGAGAACGCTGAAGAGCCCACTGGGGAGCCAACCCCCTCAAGGCTGTGCCAGGCACTGGCAGAATATCGGCGAAACACTCGTCTGGGCTTTTAGCTTGTATCTATGTAGGAATTACGGTATAATACCTTTACCATATGGAATTCATACCACTCGAAGTACTACTTGCTTGCAGAATGGCCATTACGTGATTATACCGTTAGTTGACTTCTACTCGACTGTTCATTGAAATTTTGGGTATGACCCAAAAACGTCACGTGTCAGTCACTCAAATCCATGTCCTGGGCTAAAGGATTTCTGACATTATTCTCTCGATTATTCTCTGGAGTTCATATACCAGAAACCGCACAGAGAACGCTGGGTGTCCCAATGAAAAGACGAACCCCTCGCGGCTGTGTCCCGCAGCGGCAAAATATCGGCGAAACAATCGTCTGGGCTTTAAGCTGGTATCTATGTCGAGAGCACAGTATAATGCGTCTGTCATACAATTTCATACAACTCGTAGTAGCATTTGTATGTAAAATTGGCATTACCTCATTATTCCATAGTAGTTTGTTGTCTTCTACTCGAATATTCATTGACATTTTGGGTATGGCCACAAAAAGTCATCTGTCAGACAATTAAGTCCATGTCCTGGGCTGAGTGAATTCTGACGTTAATATCTTGATTATTCTCTGGAATTTACATATCAAGAATCGCATAGAAGACGCTGCGGGACACACTGACGAGGTGAAATCCTCCAAGCTGAGTCATGCGGTAGCAGAAACAACAGTGCAACACGTATCTGAGATTTTAGATGGACAATCTGTTCAAGCTTGTTAGAGGGGACTCAGGAAATCTTCAGTATTGAAAAGTCAAGTTGGCGAACGCACGTTTTCGGTAATTCTTCCTCAGGCCAATACAATTACATGAAACGAATGAAAATGTACAAAATCAACAGTGTTTATAGATGCCTCAAGGGCTATTAAGTCACTAACACTCATCATCCCCACGCCGCCCGCATGAGAAGGTCGGCGGGTGTTAGTCGTCAGGGCTAGGGGAGGGGGGTAAGAGAGTCTTTGAGTAATGATCTTGGGTTGAGTACACGGAGTACCCATCATCGTGATTAGGGATTTGAGGCGGCATGGCTTCATCACTTGGGGTTGGCATTGGCGTTGGCCACGGCAGCCAAAGCGCTTGTGCCAGAGTTTTCTGACAGCATAACACCGGATTCACTAACCGTATAGCTACTGCCTCTGCCGTTGCTAGTATCCGTTGGCGTAGGCCTTTAGAGAGGCATGTTGGTGTCCGGTAGACAACCTGAAATGCTTTCTTGGCATCGACTCGGTGGTTCGTATCGATTAAATGCGCGAGAATAGAACTCGAAATCGACCGGGTCTCACCTCTGTGTAGCCAGGTGGGCATATGTTCACGTACTCTCTTTACCAGGCGTCTCGTTGTGCGGCCGATGTATCCTGCTCCACAGCAGCAAGTGAATGAATAAATGCATATTGATTTGGCCTCCAACGGTAGTCTGTCTTTACCTGCCAAACGTAGGAGGGGAGAGTTTGTGAAGCATACGCATAAATTCGCCGCAGGGAATGCCCTCGTGATAGCTGTAGTTAAGCGCCGTCGGACTAGTTCGCTCTCTGCGTCTCCTCTAAAAGGCAATCTTATGAATACATCTTTCTTTTCCGCAGTCTCAACTGTGGGCTTTTCAACGCGTTCCCCAATATTTAAGTAATTGCGTTCGCAGGACTTACGAAGTCTAAAACGTCCTTCGCCCCTTAAGCTGAAAGCGTTTTCCAAAATTTGCCGATAGTTTGAGGCACGTTACTGAGTTCGAGGATGAGGGGTTGGGGGGTGATGAACAGAAAACCTGACAAGAGTCAAATAACCTTACATACGCAAATTTAGAGAAGCAGGACGTACTAATTCCAGACTGAGGACTCCAGACTTGGCAACGTGCAGTACAAAATCTCCCAGAGACATTGTCGTGAAGCGGATGAAGGGAAGAAAGTCCGCCATGAGATCAGTCACTATGGCCGACGTGGGTCGCAGCCCACGACGATCACACTCAGCGCTGGCCCAACGATGCACGGCCTCAAATATCTCCCATTCCTCACAACAGAGTGTGTCACGACTGATGAGTTCCAGTACCGTCTCCTTAGATAAGTCGACGAATGGTTCTGAGGCCAGAACCTCCGATGTCTGTAGTGAATTAGTGTGCATCGGGTAAAGAACAATGAAATGGCAAAAGGCCGAAGGTTTTGTACGCTGCCGTTCATTGTGAAAAATTGCATAAAGTTCTACTTACACAAATTAAGTAGGTCAAACAACGTGCAAATTTAATAGTTCCTCCACACATAGGACTGCAAAGGAGCGATGGCGACAAGCATAATTTTATATGGCGTAAGTGCCCCAGGCCTGAGGAAATTCAAGATATGGAAGATACAGGGCTGGGATCTTTCGGCTACCCAATGGTGGTCCATAAATGCCTAATACATTTTTATCAGCACATTTTAATGTACACTAAAAGAGCCAAAATGTCAATAAAAAACAAACCCTCAGTGTCAACTAGGCCAAGTTAAATGCGTAAGTATCCCAAGATGTTTAAGAATGGCAAGCCAAGGATTCGTTTTCAATCTCACTATCATTAGTTTAGGACTGCTTATGGCGTCTTGATTAATTACTACTTGACCTTTTGCGACATAACACAGAACTTTATGTATAGAATAAAATCAATAAATATTGTAGGTAGACTGAAGTACCGAAAGTCACTAATTAGTGCGACACAATCGGCGGTTTATATATAGGTCAGTTAGGCTGAGTTCCGAGACCGATGCTAAGTGTGCCTGTTTTCCACACATGGAACTGAGTTGTGCCGGTCTATCCTGTCTGTTCGACAGCAATGGACGAGACTGAAGTCCCCATGTCCGCGCTGCAAACAGGCATTTGCCTGTGAAATGCGCTGCACCCCTGAAATGTCTTCGGTGTCCCAGACGCTACTCAACGTATGGCCTCATTACATAAGTTGACATTATTTACAACGTATCGTCTCTACCTCATCGAAAAATTACTCGATTCACCTTTAACTGAGCCTATTGAAAATAGGGTAATTTGTTATTTCCCCGTTAGGCAAAACGGTGAATATATTAAACAGGGTGGTGGTAAAATCAATCTTAATTTTTTCATTGAAGAAGCAAATATACACAGGAAAAACTTTCCAGTAGAAAGGCAGAATGCTACAATGACATGGGGTGATGTGACATGACATGCGTAAATTTCAAATTGCCAGTGACTTGGGGTGGCAGACATAATAACTAGGAATGGACGGAAATATCAAGCTATCAGTAAAGAAAGAGGATGGATAATGCTGGAGGGCACCCACCATCAGATCAATTGTGCGCCAGCAAATTCGGGTAAGTTCTTCTTCATCAATGGCAGAACTCTTGTTCAGTTGGAAGAGAACGTTTTGCGGGGTCATATGATTCTGGTAAGCAAAAGAAGGGCATGCAAGGAAAGATTTTAAGTGAGCAGTCATCATAAGTATATGTCAGTGTTTGTTATGACCTAGTTAGTTAACATTCAAATCACGCTGGGCCCAGAATGTATGTGCACACATGCACATGCCTCATAGTTTAGCATAATGAGATCACATGCACTAGCTAAAAGTCCAGCAACGTTTCGCCGATTTGCTGTCAATGCATGAGACAGTTGCGAGAGTTGGGGCTCCAATGATAACCCATTCGGTGCAGACAGCATAGGCATTTGTCGTCAAAGAAGAAAGCCTTCCATACAACCCCCCCCGCGGAACTGTGGAGAACACTTACAATGGAAATCGACGATCCCATGTCCATCCGGAACGAGCTAGAATTGTCTACCGCACTCGAAATACATACACTTAACTTCTTTTTCGTGCCGTCTTTTTTGTGCTTAACGTCATTAATTCCTTCCAGGCCAGCTAAAAAACAACTGTTTAGGCTGAAAAATGAGGAAAAAATAGGACCTCTCGAAACGTCGGAAATTAGTTATTCCCCTCTGCCTTAAAAGCTCCAGGGTTCCCCTTAGGCTTTACCTAATGCTTATGAACTGCTTATGAACTCCCAGCTCAATGTTTGAGTGATGAGGTTCAGTAGATCTTCTGGACTCTGGCCGATCGACACACATTGAAGCCTAAGCGTCTGTTTACTCTGACAAGTGGCTGAGGAGTTGGTTATATTGCTATGACGAAAATCTGATCATGTCGCTTAAAAGCTCCTTGTCAGGACCGAGAAAACGCCAGTGGATAATGCTACCATCGATGCTGAATTAAACAACAACATAGATGCGTATCACATTTGTTACGATAACTTTCGTCAGTAATGCTTTCGGGTTTAAATAAACTCAACGTCCGCATCTGTTAGGATGTACGAAATTGCTATTTTCGAATTCAATTCCGATTAACAGAAGTAAAAGCGGATCACGATTACAAGCTTAACGTGTAAGAAAGTAGACCGAACTGGAGGAAATACAATTTCGGGAGAACTGTTTAGGAGAAGGTGGAATTTTTAGCAGAAAATTAGAAGTTCAGAAGACGAAGATGCGATCGCTGGATCACTGGGTTCCTGTTCCAGTGGTCGCATTTTCGTCTTTTGAACTCTTACCTGGAAATCGCCTGTTCGCATCTATCAGCAAAATTAGAGGTTTTCAAATATCAGCCCTTTTAATCTCAGGACTGAATCGTTGGCCTGGAGTAGATCGGTCCGAAATTTGGTAAAAATAGTTAAATCGGAGTCCGTCGGTCAAGATGGGACAACCGCGTAGTAGCTGTCAACTGCCAACGCTTAACCGACCGTATACTCATGTTGCAATATTGAATATACTTACTCAGGGCGGCTTCCACTGGACAATGCTCAAATCTGTGCTACTCGGCCGCTTTTCGATGATGAGCTAGCTGAAAAGATCAAACATCAAAAACAATCGCCACCTCTTACGGGATTAAGCAGTTTCCAAGGTCTACATCCATTTGAATCTTGACGAGAAAATGTGCTTGCCGTTAGCGCAAGCTGTCAGAGCAAAGAGAAACCGTTCGTCAAAAGATACCAGATATGCAGAAGACGAGTTGTTGAGCAAATATTAGTTTCGATAACTTCTCCTCTGGTCAGCACAATCATATGGAAGCACGGTACCGTCAAACACGCGAGTGATTGAAAAAATCGATAAAAGCAAGTTTTAAAACACAGGCGGGGCATAAGTGAAGAGTTTTTACACTATGGCATTTTGACAAATTTTAAATAATCAGAAGGCAAAGTGGCGAGCGAACGTTGCTATCGATAACTTCTCTTCAGGCCTGTATGGTTATATGGAAACGGGGTAAATTGACTGAAAAGATAAACAAAATAAAGTTTTTAAAATACAGGCTTGGCAAAAGCGGAAGGGCGAAGGAAGTTGCATGCTGTTAGTCAACCTTTGGCTACGGTAAGCGCGGAGCCTGAACGAGTTTCTTCCGAGTGCTTTGGGTCGGTTTTCGTAACCTGACTGCGGTCGCTTCCGCTGTTGCTAACAGGCATCGATATAGTAGCTTAGGATAGCTCGATGGGACTTTATAAATCACACGAAAAGCTTCGTCGGTGTCCATACGATACCCTGCATCAACTAAATGTGCAAGAATGGCACTGGTTACGCTCATCGTTTCACCTTTTGCAAGCCGTGCTGGAGGGTTATTGTATTATTTTGCATAGACGCCGACTCGTACGACTAATATGACCTGCTCAACAGGAGCAAGAAAATGAAAAGATGCACCTCAAGGTTGCCTGAAATAGCAGCCTGTTCTTCCCTTCTCCGCGTAATATAAGCTGTGTAGAGAATGATATTTGAACCCTTGCCTCTGGGAAGGTTCTTGAGACAATTTGATCAAGGCGTCTGCTTAGTCGTGACGGATCTTCGCTGGGACTGCAATCGCCCACAAAGGTGGTCTCCGCCAATCAGTGGTAACCATAACAATGAAGTCTGTTTGCATCCGAAACATAAATTTATGAAGTTTGTAGTTGACTAAATGATTACCACAATCGTAAATCGTGTCAAGGCTTGTCATATTTGAGATCTGACGGCCGAACAGAGGTGTCCTGTTCTGCTCAAAATGCCTGATGACGCTCACACTTGATAACGAAATGCAGATGGCTCTCGTGATAAATTTAGAGAAACGTTGTGGCATTTTTTGAAAAAACATAGTTCCCTAAACCCCTATTATCATAGTTCTTCATTTCGAAATTAAATTTCAGGTGGCCTCTACATAGTAAGGAACCAGCCTTGGCAAGACGAATGCTAGTAGCTCTAGTATGTAGAATTGTCGTCTCGGGATGTTTCAATAAATAGCATTTCTATATAAGATCTATAAAGTGCAGACGCGGAGACGCAATGTCGGATGACTAAACAAATAAGGCAGACGCTCCCTGTCGGTATGCGTGAAGTTCTGGAGGGTTGAGTGAAAAGGAGTCCAGTTGCTTACCACGCTGCATAACGACATTTTTTATCAAGTAGCATTACCCTTTTGCCGCCGCAGTTTGTTTAATGCATTCAACACGCTGACTCAGAAGCCCTGTCGTTGTATCGAGAGCTTCAATTCAGTATTCGAAATCCGGAAGGTGAATCTACTATCATTATCGAAACCGTCCAGACGCGATTTCAAAAAGCGAGCATTTTTTATTTTCAGATGCAAAGTACTTTTGTAGCAGGCGATGCACGGTAACATATTATGACTATGCTTAATGTTTTTCGGTGGTTCTTTATGGGAAAACGCTAGCACCAAATCATATTACATTTGGAGGAATGACATCCCTTGTCTTTGGAGATAACGTCGCACAATGTTCATTTACTTACAATGAGTTGAGAAGCGCTAGCAGACGCAAGTTGAGGCAGAAGGTACTTCTTGGCGGCGTAGAGGATGTCGTAGAGTTCGTCAATGTCATCTGGCAGTTGGAGATCGTCGTGGTAGATGAAGCGTAAGCACTGCTGGAATGCCTGGAAATTAGAGCAAAGAAAAAGGAACGGTAGTCAGCTGAAAGGACGGAACTCACCGAAAATATAATTCAGACGAAAATCTGTGGTCGAAACAATTCAACTAAACAGGTCATCTACCACGAACATCAATAACTGGACTGGTATAAATAGAAGCCATCGCCCTGTCGGACAAAGCCTTTCTGCATTCCATAGGCAAAGAAATAAATTCTCAGGGTTGCAAAATGTTTGATTTCTTTCAAGCAGGTTAAACCTAAAAGCATTTATTTCGTCATACCCCATCCCCCAGCTCCCAAAAGACGCTAAAAGAACGCTGGGGATGATCGGAAACACAAATAGGCTGCCCGAGTTTGTCCAGTGAAGTGGAAATGAATGTGATTCGACAGGGCAATTCAAACGTCGCTAAGCATCCAATGTCTCTGGTAGTGTAAAGACATTGTGAAGGCTCAAAGGTGGAGGTTAACGAGTTCTCAAAACACCGAGCCCGCTTTTGGTCTGAAATATGGACAAATTCCGCGAGGTAATTCTTACAAGTTACTTCCAGGGATAAGCAGGAAACGGATTTCAATCCAGACGGCAGATGTCGGAGTGATTTAGACGCGAGGCACCCGTGAGAGCACAAAATTGGGTGTTAACGCATGTACGAAAGCCCGTGGGCTATCGCGCAACCATGTCAAGCACGTAGGAACAACCGTAACTTCAGCTTTATGAATTAGATAGGATAACATCGCATTCGGTGTGTGAATTAGATTCGCAAACGAAAAAAATCGAGAAAAACTCAAGGATCTGCCCTGTCGGGGGAGTTGGAGCATAGTAATTATTGCTAATTAGTAGGGTGGGCATATTGACACAGGCACAGTAGGGGAACCTGCCCAAAACCTTTCTAATTCATGCCTTTTTATGACCCCACTGCTGGTCACCTGTAACAAGAAGGAAGTAATTTAAAAGAAAAGTTGGCTCGCGTTGCGAAGCAGACTGAAGTATCAACTAGTCCTCTTGATTTTCAGAGCATAGAACACGCGGTGTGAACTCAGGAGGTGGGAGAAACTCGAAATTGCTTTGTAACAAACAGCGCGTCGATGAAAGACGGTTTCGCTTTCTCTAGTCTGATTCGCCAAAAGTGTTCATTACCACCAAATTATTTTCATCTTGCGTTTCGAAAACGTTTTGTCGGCAACGCCGGCTATACTACTAACAAATATTACTAAAATATTCTGCATTATCAGTAGAAGGATCTCCTAAAAAGAAGGAGAGACTTAGTAAGGGTCTGACGCTTCGTATAGTGATGACCTTCATGCATCCTCAAAGTCTCGCGCATAGATATCATTGTATAGCACATTCTTTTGATGCGGCAGCCGCCAATGCTAACTATGGGGCTGCCTCTGATCCCGTTCTCTACCGTAACCTGTGTCGCTCCGCCCTCGTTTGTCGCGACGACAATTGAGGAGCGCGGATGTCTGTTGGCTTTGAACAGTACTCACAGAAGCCTCATCTAGTCGCATTTGGTGGCTAGCGTGATGCAATGAGTTTCCACCCGCCAGTACAGCATGCGTACACAGCTTCGCTTGTATTGCAGCGGTTGGTTGCTGTTGTGGCCGGTGTGCCATTAATTGCTAGTATGTGGTTCCCACTTCGATTTATACTCTTGGAGGGTGGGTGAGCGGAATCCCTACTTGTAACGTCAGACTTTAAATAAAACTCTCCCAGTGAACGTCTCGTCTTTTGAAATGTCGTCCCAATAGTATTGGCAGTAGAAATCGGACAGGAGAGAGGAAAAGTCAAAATGTCTTAGTCATTTGAAGCATTTTGTCCCCGGTACGAAGCTGAATTAGGCAAGAACAGCAGGATTTATTGGCACCAAAAAATTTCGCGATTGCTCTTCAGCTGCTTCCTGTCGCTTCATAAGAGGGATAACGAGTGAGAACAATACAACAGATTTGAATTCATGCAGAAAATCGATGCAGAAACAGCAAGGTTAGGGTTTTGGGCAAAGTTGGCTAATCGATAAAGTTAATAACACAAACGCCGTAGGGGAAGAAAGTGAAAAAGAAGGAAACGTTAAAGAGCAAAAAATGAGAGGAGAGAGGGGGAATCATGGAGCCAGAGGCTACCATGGTGATGTTAGGTTAACCACGTGCTCCAATTGTTTGCAAAGATCTGGTTTCACTCGTCGTATATAGGCTGCCTCCAGGTAACGCAATGTCCTAGTTGTTCGTGCCCGAACAAGTACTTGGAAGGAAGTTTTGGGGTCGACGGTGTGACCAGTATCAAGTAGGTGTTTCGTAATGGATGAACGTGGGATCTTATTTTCTTGTCTAAGGAGCCACTTGGGCAGGTGCTCAATGGATCTGGCTGCCAACTGCCTTTGCGTTCGCCCAATGTACTTGCATCCGCAAGTGCATGTGAATTCATAAACACAATTTGACGTGGCGTGCATTGGCAGGGCATCCTTTGCCCGTGGAATCGGAAGTGGCTTAGTAGGACTGCAGAATACTAGTTCGGCTGCATTGTATGTCCTTTCAATGGTAGAACGTAGCCGCCGTTTGAAAGTATTTAAAATATTGTCGCCCTTAAAGGGCAAAGATATAAAGACGGGATTTTTCGAAGCTGAATGCTCTGTCAGTTTTGGCCGTGTAGAGTTGCTGTATTTGTGGATGAACCGTGCGGGATATCCACGCTTAAGTAGAGCTTCTTTGAGACGTGCAAATTCTGCATCCAGTGTGTCATTGGAGCAAATGTTTCTAGCCCTTTGGAAAAGAGCGTATACCAAGTTACGTTTCCATTGGATAGGTACAAAACTCAAAAAATGCAAGTAATGTCCCCTCCAGGTATTCTTATGGAAGACAGAACGTCTTATAGAACCATCTTCCTTTCTAAACATAAAAACATCCAGAAAGGATAGCTGGTTGTCTTGTTCCTTCTCCATTGTAAATTTGATCTTTGGATGCAGCTTATTCATAATAGAAAGTAGTTCTTCAGCCTCCTTAATGTCTTTAACAATAGCGAAAACAGGAAGCAGCTGAAGAGCAGTCGCGAAATTTTTTGGTGCCAATAAATCCTGCTGTTCTTGCCTACTTCAGTCTTAGTCATTGTCAGGACCACTGCGTGTTCACCTGAGTAAAAACACACGCGTCTTGCTTTCCTTCCCACAGTAGGTTTTGTGCACGGCGGTGTCAACAGTTGCTATTTTTTCTGCCACCAACGTCCCAGCGAATGCAAATGAGGGGGCTGATTTCACATCCACCCTGAGGAAGTTCTACTAATTTCTGGAGGAATTAATTAGAAGGGAAGCACGGAAATCCGACACTCAATGGCTGACTCAAACGGATGCATACGAGCGAAAAAAAGGTCGGCCGATGCATGCGATTACACATCTACGCTACACCTAGCCAACATACCGAAAGTGGTTTTTCGCGTCCAGGGCGGAGAGTGGAGTTTTGTGCAACGACATTTTAGAATGAAGGTGGCAATCAAGTCCATGAGAAAATAGCAAGGTGTTAGATAATTTCAAATCGCGGAATCTCCCAGGACACACATGCTCGCCTACAACTGCGGGATCTCTCACTCCGACGTGATGTGCATCGAATGAAGCACTGCATGTGGACGTTACAGAGCCAGCGTGAACTACTCGGCTTGAATTTGTCATCTTTCACCTTGTTTTCGTGCCTTATATATAACGGTAGATATAGATATAGAAAGGTACAGGCAGTATGTTATTACCGACAAAGACAAGTGAGACTGGAATGGCCCTTTCTGGCTTATTAGCCGTCGTTAGCCAGTCATACCCAACTCCGAAGTGTGGAACACCCGAGTCTCGAACTCGCAACCTGTTGGTTAGAAGTCCACGCCTCTAAACACTGGGCCACGAGCCCGTTGCCCTGTTGGTTCTCGAGCGGGAATATATAATGGTAAGAGGGCGCTCATCGATCGTGCTTACGGAACTCACTTGTTCCGTTGGGCCTTACAGGCTCTCTCTCGAGTTCAACCGGCAGCCGCATAGCGGCGCAAGATATGGGCAGAATGTTTATACCGACAAAGACAAGGGAGACTAGAATGGCCAATTCTGGCTTCGACAGCCAGTCGAAGATTTTTCGGCATGATTTCTAAAACATATGTTTAAATAAGTAGAGGCGTCGAACACCGGCGGGACAAAGTCATACTACTAAAGTAGTCATTTTTACGGAGCGAGGTTTTCGCAGACGACTAGAAAGACGCTCATTCAAGATCAAGCACCCATCGGGATAAAAATATCTCGGGATTATTCCGCATGTCAATTAATATCACCATCCAGCTTAAGCAATCTTTTTAAATCAAAAACCCATTCCAGAATTTCAGTTAATTTATCAAAAAATGCCATATTTACGTACTAAGAATCGACGAGCAAAACATCTATGAATTTCTACATCGGTGCATTCACCCACCTTAAAGCTGTAAACGGCGGCAATTAATTTAACCACACGTCCCTTAACAAAACGTATACCCTCAAGGCCATTGCACGTGGAAGGAGAGAAACCTGCTCCGTCATTGGTTCCCTGCGACCTGCTTTACTGGCGTCAATAAAAGTAACTTTCGACAACAGCACAGACATGTTTGGTTGAGTTTGCTTTATTGGCACACAAAGAAGCGGCGAGACCCTATTTCGTAATCCCACCTGTTGGGGTTAGCGGGGGGCAGGCGTTAGGGGTTGGGGGTTTAGAGTTGTGCAGGGGCTTGTCTAATGCAGGTAGGGCTACAAAATACGACAGAGGCGAAACATCGAAAGCGTCACTAACACAATTCAATCAGTTCTTAGCGCGACCATCCGAGGTCTTCATTTTAATTAAAAGCAGTCTTCTTCATGCAGCTGGACTCTTCATAATTTTTTAAGTCCTTTTGTTACTTGTGCTCCGCTTGAAATAGAGCAAACGCTGGCTGAAGAATTGCTGATTCTTTTAAATTTTCCCAAACGACATCCTGTGAGAGCAGCTTTATCAGTAAAAGAGAAGCGCGAACGGTTGAACAGCAACCAGAAGCTGGGGCTAAGGCATAGTAAGAAAATCCATAGACTTTTCAACAGAATTTCTAGCTGTTAAAGAACGCGTCCAGTTTATACACCTGAGTGCCAAGGTCAAGATTTCTGGCTCAGGTCATTTTTATGTGCGTTGACTATTTCAACTGTTCCAGTGGAGGCAACCCTATTGGTAGAACAGGCTGACAAATGCCGAAGAACATGAGACGATCTCTGGAAGTGGGGGAGGCATGTGAAAATCATATACAGCTGTGCTTTCGCGCAAATGACAGACACGAGTTACTGCAGCGATGCCGGGGAAGCCTCTCTGGTTAAATTCTTCTGCATTCGGGCAGAATCTGATACCGTCCATTTATCAAATGTCACTACGCATCGCATACGTACCTCTTTCACTCCAGAGAACCTACCGAACTGAGCTCCGAGCTAGTCAAACATTGGAGTAGACTGGGCGCATAACGTGACTCAAATTTGATTAAATTCACAGTTTCTGTGGCTCAATTGGCTGGCGTGTTGGCCGTCATCAAATGTCCGACTTTCTGTCCTGGGTTCGAAAGCTATTGAGGTCACCGAATGCTTCACAGTTAGGTCAAAATGAATAGTCTATGTTATTCTGACAGACGTAAATGTGATTGTTTTCGAGATCTGCCCTAGGCAGTGATCCCTGCGCGTGTTCTCGGGAGTAAGGACCTAGGTGTATTCGCAGAATGTAGATCAGAATTTAAGAATTACCAACTCGAGTGAGGGCGGGGGGGGCGTTCAAGCTGCGTCATCAGGCACCAAGTAGGGTTGGCGCCTTGAGCACTTAACCATTCCAAGGCAGTGACTTGTTGCATGCAAAAACAACACCTGACCATCAATCTGAGGAAGAAGCGCAGGGTTAAAGAGAGCAAACTGTCTGACAAGTTAAAAGTAGCGGTTTGCTTTCGTTGCTATGCGGTTAAGGCAGCGGTGAACATTTGAGTTGATCCACTTCTGAAAAGTCCGGGGTTTGAACACACGGCAGAATGGGAAAGGTCTGAAAACGGTCAACGTTCTAACCACCTGAACCACAGGGCCGAGACTGAGAGCCAGGATGTAAATCGCACTTGGATCAAATGACCCACCCAGTTTACCGCAATGCACGCGATTCACAAATTATGAGACAAAAGGCAGACTACCGATAAAAGCGAAGATGTCAGTTCCGGGATCGAGTTGATCAGAAGAAGAAGCGATCGCTAGAGCAAGGGCTTTATTCGCCTGACGTTTCGGATTCTCACTTGAATCCATCATCAGAGACGGCAGCAGAAAAGGGTGACTCGTGCAAGGAAGTTGCAGTATTTATAGGATGCAGTCGCTATGCTACCGCATACCTATAGCAATTAACCGCGCTCCTCTTCATAAAGGATCGTTGCCCGCTGGTGCACTTATGGCTTGCTGGCCGGTATGCAAGTTGTTAATTACCGAAATGTCATCACCCGTGCTGGATGCCGGCGTGATGATTGCTCGGCCATCTGGCTCACCGGCTTGCGCGCGCCCCGAGTGGTCAGTTACCTTGGCCAGCCTATGCCTCAGCAAGGAGTATGGAGTGGGCATGTCGTTGCACTTGCTGATTGATTAAGGTCCCGTGAACCATGACTCAAGCAACTCGCGGCTCACACGATTATCCCCTCGTCGGCTTTGTCGAACTTGAATGTGTGGCCGGGTCTCGTCGAATGGGCCGCGACTTGAGAGTTGGCGTCATGCCTCCGTACCGCTGCCGCGTGTTCGGCAATTCGCGTTCGGAGCAGTTTTCCAGTTTCTCCGAAGTAGGTGCTTTGTCCGCAACTGCACCATGACCTGTAAACGACTCCAGGTGTTTCATGCCGTGGCAGTGAGTCTTTTGGTCTCATCACCTGTTGCTTCATGCAGGCCTCCGGTCTGTGTGCAACTGCACACAGACCAGCGCGCGCAAGCCGGTGAGCCAGATGGCCGAGCAATCATCACGCCAGCATCCAACACGGATGATGAAATTTTGGTAATTTACAACTTGCATGCCGGCCAGCAAGCAATTAGCGCACCAGCGGGCAACAATCCTTAATGAACTGGAGCGCGGTTAATTGCAATAGGTATGCGGTAGAATAGCGACCGCATCCTATAAATACTGCAACTTCCTGTGCACGAGTCACCCTTTTCTGCTACTGTCTCTGATGATGGATTCAAGTGAGAATCCGAAACGTCTGGCGAATAAACCCCTTGTTACAGCGATCGCTTCTCCTTCTGATCAGTAAGCAGACTGCCTAGGCTGCATTCCCTAACCAATCAACATAGAATCCACCAGATGACTACTAGACTCACTATTGTGATAGGTTTTCTTTGACGGACTTGAACAATTCAGCTATTTAGATTGTGCAAAACTCGACGGTTTCGGTGGAATTTAAGTCTACGAAGCCAAAGGCATCTTAAGGACAGTGGTTGAAAAAGGCGATGGTACCAGTGAGCGGAAACATGCCGGAGACAAAGGTCCCAACACATAGGACGATGCAGTAAAAGGCAAAAAGACGGATTACATGTGGTCTTGTGCTAATGACTGTCCCACCACCTTCAAACTACGGCTCTCTTTGTAAGGTTCAACTGTTATGCAATTAAGGAACAAACGTTTTTATAATAGTGCCAGAAGAAATGCACTGTTAACAGCTAAATTTCCCATGTGGAAAATAGGTAAATCAGAATAAACAATATTTCAGCGACTGGTTTCCTATTGTGTTGATTATGCAAGAAGCGCTAAATAGAGTACAGATGCGATTTTGATACTCACCTTCGGAGTCACGTCTGAGATGCAGAGCTCCAGCATATTGCTCTTGTTGGTCAGAGAACCGCCGAAGCCACTGCCCGAAGTATTGCCACCACCATCCGCGGTGGCGGAGCGTCGATTGCACGCCATGTTCTCCGTAAAGAGACCAAAGAACATAGCCTCAAAGACGGGTGAGGCCAGCGCGAGGATGAGACGGTGGGCAGAAAACCGTGTGGGTTGCTGTTGCTGCAGCTGGAGCTGATCGCTCTCCCGAAAATCCATCCGTGAAGTGGAGTCTGGACTTTCTGGACGAGCAGCTGACTTCTTTGTTAGCCCATCCGTCGCCTCATCAGCCCTTACCAAGGTGGAAGACGACAAAGTTGACTCACCAGCAGCTGGTTCTACGGTCGCCACCGCCGCAGCCGCTGTCGCCTCGGAGCCCTCGGCAGGTCCACTTGCTTGAGCCTTTGGAACCTGACGATAGATGAGGGCACCCGAACGGGTTTGAGTGCAGGTGGAGACAGTGTCCACTGGGCGTTCGTCTGAGTCAATGTCGGATGTATCGGTCATGTCACACATGACTGCAACAGACGGTTGATCTTCGTTCTCCGTAAGGGATGAAGAGATGGGCGCGGAGGAGGAGGAAGCGGTTGAGGAGGGAGAGGGGTCGAGGGAGACTTCGGAGGGCCGAAGCATGCCCTCACTCGCGGTTGACTGCTCCATATTCATGGCAAGCAGGAGCTCCGTAAGGCGTTTCGCCTTCTCAGCTGCGGTCGGTTCGTCAACTGGGGCCTCGACAGCGCCATTGGGAGGACTGGCTTGTCCACGCGACACAGAGCCTGAGACCTGGGCAATCATAGAGGAGATCATACGCTGCTTTCGATCGTCTGTCTCGTTAGAGAACGTTGGCTGTCGAGAGAGTGTTGGGACCCTTGAGGGTCGATTGGAGACGGTATTGGTAGATCTGGGCGCGGCGCCAACGAGGAAGCAGACGTCGGCGAAGAGTTCAGATTCAAGGACGTACTTGAAACGAGCACGTGAGTCCTTGCAGGATGCCTATGGACAGGTTAGGAAGCAAATTGATCTTGAGGTGGACAGAAACTTGTTTCTTACAGGCTGACGGATCAAATCGATTTTCGTGTGAAATGTCAGTCGAATGCGCTGAATGACCGCTTACATGTAATGTTTCGGAAGCACTAGAGGCGATCGCTGTTAAAGTATGCTTATGTTTACGTTTACGATTACCTCTAAAACCTATTATCAGAGAAAATATGGAAGAGTGCTAGGTCAAAATTGGCAAATTGGCCTTATCCCGTTTCCAAGTCTTCCCAGACTTCACAAAAAGTAACCAAATTAGACTGCGTATAAGTTTTTCATTTTAAATTAATTCACACAAGGACTGCTTTAACTGCAGAAAATACAATAAAAGAAAGATTTGTGACTTTTTTGACAGTTTGAAGAAATAACGCAAACCCGGAGAGCGTCGCCCACTTTACATATGAAAAGATCGGTCATCTGATTTTTTATAGCTCAATTTACTCACAAAAAACGAAAACCCTGTGAGTAGAGAGCTGCTTGAGAGATGCTTCTTGAACTTGGCGTCTACAAGCAGAACAAACGGGTTACCTCCCGCCTACACAGTGCCGGGCTTGTGCCCAAACACAATAGCAGATCACGCATAAGTCGGAAAATAGAAAAGTACTAAAGACAACAGTGAGCATATTAAGCACCTGTGTTAGCTGAATCTGAGGGGGCGGCAATGAGTGATATATGTGCAGCAGGTAAACCAACCAACACGCGGCTATATAACAAAAGCGGGTATTAAAAGACTGTATTTTTGTGTTTTTGTTACGTGCGAATGCTAGATATTGTATGCTCATAACTACCAAAATGTGCTCTGAAGAGATTTAAGTCAGCTGGCGGGTGGGGAAAATGGGTGCGCCGACATCGGATCATAGGTTGAATTCCTATTCGGCTGGTACACCGCGACAAAGAGGCAGGAAAATGTAATGCACGGCAGGCGACTGTGAAGCAGGACGCAGTATTTCGACCGTCGTGTTCGACGATGTCCACCGTATACCCCACAGCAGTGGTGGGAGCAGGGACGTCGACTTGCGCAGGGGTTTATAGTGTCAGTAGATTTCCGTAGCATCTACCTACACTCTCTCCTGCTCCCCCGCCTGAGCCCGGTGTCAAGACAGAGTCAAGAAGACCGGAGACGAGAGAAGCCGCAGGTGGATGGCTCGGACGGATCCTCCCCTTGGCGCTCAACTCCGCACCCCATAGTCCACACAACAAATGACCAGGATTTTGAGGGCGCGGAAGCGGGCCCATTTCTTCGACGCCAGCGCACCCCCTAGATGTTGGCATTTGTTATTGCGCAAAGATAACGCCTGCCAGAATCCGATGTGGCCCCCGTGTTGGTCCAGCGTATGTAAGACGTAGCCCGTTTTGGGGGGCAGGGCGTAAACAGCGAATGACCCACATAACGTTATGCATAACGGTTCACCACAAAGAAACTTATGTGGAAGTCATTCTAAACTATAAGAGTAGCCACCCTATCTTGCAAAGACAGATTGCTGTCAGCTGTATGTTTAATCAAGCGAAAGCATCCTATTCCGACGAAAAAGGCCATCAAGTAAACTTATGTCATCTGTGTAGATTGTTTTCTCCAAATGGGAATCTCACAGATTTTTGCACTCTCATGCATGAGACAGACAGAATCAAAAAAGCAACTCGGTAGCCGCTAGGCGTTTGCCCGTTTCACCAACATAGTTCGTATTGCAATTCTGGCATGCTAAACTGTACAAAACTATTGATTGTTTTGTTACTGATAACGAGTTTTCGGGAGCCTATGATTGGCTCCTAGTTGGTGCATTTTAGTTAATGAGCCCCACTTATCCCAAAAGGTTATAGCTTCGTTGCCGTCACCTCCAAAACGTGCTTAAAATGGCGGACTGAAAGCCACAACTACGACTTTTCTCCGCTTGATCGCTCAAAATGAGGTTTTTGAAGCACTGGCACATGAAGAGATTCGGATAGTCCTCGGCCTCGAAGGTCGTGTAGATACTTCATCCTTTCTCTCTCACTTTCATTGTCTTAGTGTGTTTGGACACGATGGTTGAGGGTCTGTCACAACCACCTTTGTGAGTTGCTTCGGAAGTGGAGGATGCGCCAATTGCTGGCTGCCACATATAGCAGTTGAGTCACATTTTCGCCTTTGGAAGGCCGAGCCAATGACAAGTTGGCCAGAATGGTCCTCGAAAGTTGGTCCTCGACAGGCCTAATCAACCGAACTATGGACCTGCACCCCGCCTATCAGACGTTACGCGCAAAGCTCGGATAAGTTCTATCAGGCCCACTAGGATAGGTTGACGCTCAGGAAACAGAAGGGAAGTGGCCGCCAGATGTCACGCGCCCAAAGTCGAACACTGTCTCACCGATGCACTCGAGAGGCTGGGAGCAACTCACACGAACAGCAACGGCTGATCAGTCCACCGACTGACTTTCGGGAGGCTAGCAAGCATAAAGACTTGGTTACGACTACGCCGAATCCAAACGGGATAGAGGTCACGCGAATCCTGCATTTATCAGCCTCAAAGAGTTCACAGCCAGTCAATGGCAAACGGGCAGGCCAGAGTTCGTGCACCGAGCACGGCCGTAATACGAGGCAAGCGACAAGGATGAACAACTCAAGAGCTGATGGAACAATAAGCACATTAATCTGATGAAAGAAAATTGGAAGTTTCCGGAACTTCAGTAAAAATACAACTTGGTACATGAACTTATCTCCTCTTCAATACGATCATCCTCTATTCTTCGGAAGACATCTGGACCTTGAATATCTGGGCATATCGAAATACATATGCATAGAGATACGGATGTCTGCGTCTCAAAGTCGAAAGGGAAGCCCGTCTGACCAGTTTATAACCCAGACAGATTGGCCGACGGTAGGTATGCGTGGTACGTTTGGCTGTGGGCCGTTTTTTGAACATGGGATGATGCGTGAGTGGCAAGAGATCTCTGTCACGAGTTTCGATGCTTCGCCTATTCAAATTTTCCAATATTATTTGTCGGATTCGTTGTATAAGAACCAGTAATTGGGCCATGAGAGCTTGTGGTTACCAGTTAACTCATTTTACAGCATTACATGCAGCGGTATTGTTTCGCAGGTAAAAACCCCAGTTTATCCGCCAGGTTCTTCGATTCCCCCAAATCCGACCAGTTCGTGCATTGAAGCTTTAGTATTGCTCAAAGTGCAGAGAAGTTAGCTTTGATGAACGTAACGGCTGTTTTTCTCAGTCGCTCTCAACATTGAACATGAGTTCCTTTTCAAAGTTTACAAAGACAGACTTGGTAGAGATGTTTGTTTTAATTCTAACGAAGTGGAACTACTGACGATAATATAGGGCCGGTTTTTTCAGGTCGTTTAAACACCAAGTATAATTTCTTCTCAAAATACAGCAGTACACACATAAGGTTAAGGTGATTCCATACTAACAGCACAGGTACTAGCTAAAAGCCCATACAAGCGTGTTTCATCGATGCTCTGGCTCTGTATGGCACAGCTTCCAGGGGTTCAGCTTGTCAGTGGGTCCCCCGGCTAGCTATCTGTATTCTGGTAGATAGTCTAAATGAGAAATTGTTGCTTTGGAATTTCCTTAGAAATTAACTGCAAACTTGGAGTAAATCAGCACATTTTAGGTCTACAGGAAACTAAGGGAATTAAAAAGTAATTAGTAGACAAATTTTCTATGTTAGTAGACGTCGTATAGTAGCAAGTTATAAAGAAAACCCCACAAGACGTTTAGAAGCATATGATTTCATGATGCGATAAAATTGGATGTTTTGTTTTCGAAACCAAAAGTGACAACAGATGGCAGACTAAGCTGATATTCGCACACTATACGTTCGATTTTCTTAAGTTCGCTAGCACTCACTAGCGAAGTGCTAACTCACAGATCGTATCTGAGGTGGTGGTTGCAGTTAAGAATAGAAGCGAATAACAAAATGAGATCAAAAGGGTCACACGCAACGGTTAAATGCTGCTTCAAAATAACTTTTTGAGACTCCTATTCACATGTTATTTAGGCGACACTTGGTAGACGCGATAATGCTGCAGGTATGGTCTGCCGTTGCGTAAGCATCACCACGATTTCTGGGATGCCTGTTTTGTTATTGATACAATACGCGGCTGTTGAAGTTTCAGACCGATCTTCCTTTATGGCCAACATCCAACAATGTTGTCTTTCTTATTTGGATGCATATACTACAGTGGTTGGGGGCGCTCACCGATCGTTCATACGGAACTTACTCGTTCCGTTTTGCCTTAAGGGCTCTCTCTCGAGCCCAACCAGCAGCCGCACAGCGGCGCATGATACATAGGCAGAATGGCATTACCGACAAAGACAAGGGGGACTAGTGGGCTAACTCAAACTAAGTTGGCTTAAATTTCGAAATGCGTTCTCGTTTCGAAAATATTGATTAAGTATGCCTGGAAAACTAATCATCTTCTTTCATAATTCTATAATGATCCAGCTAGCAAAGGGTGCTTTCCTTCGAACGATTGTATTTCCGACTGCATCCAAGAACTATAATCTGAAAAAAATGACTACTTATGTGGCACTGCGATTTCCTCATTCATTTTAGATGCCCTTGAAAGTTCAATTACATTTCACGAAAAAGGATAAAGTATTCATTCTTTTGTCTATTAAGTCGAAAATAACGTCTGCCTTCAATTTCATACTCAAAGGAGGAGTATAATTCGGTTTTAAAAATGTTTTTAAATGTGAGATTTTTAATACCGCGAAATGGCCGTTCATAAAGCGTAATGTATCCGCATTTACCAATATGGATTGTAAAGTGAACGATATTGCCAAATCCACAGCCTAATTTTATGAAAATCACATGACCTCCTTTTATTATCGTAAAAAATGTATGGTTTTTCGTACACGGAACATAAATACGGCTTGCAGTTTTGAAACTCTGAATGCAAGTATAACAGCAAGCCGGTTTCAAAATTATTTAGGAATTAGAAAAGTTTATTAAAACCGAATCATACTCTTATTTCGAGTATGAAATTGGAAGACTACGTGGTTTTCTACCGAATAAATAAAAGAAGGAATATTCGTATGCATGTTTTAAACGAAACATAATTGAATTTCTGTGGGCATCTAAATTCAATGACAAAATTGCATGCTATTTAAGTAGTCTTTTTTGCTGAGCATGGTTCTCACATACAGCCAGAAAGTCAGCACCCTGTGGACACTGGATCACTATAGAATTATGCTGTATGATGATTAGTTTTACAACCGCACTTAATTAATCTTTCCGAATCGAGAACGCATTTCGAAATTTCGGTTGACTTTTCATGATTTGTTCAACCTATTGTAATTTCGGGAGTTAAGAAAATCAAAAATACGGACAGTCGTAAATCAGGTTCAACTGTGTGGTATCGAGATCTCAAACTTGCCTTCTCTCTTGCACTCTCTCACTTAAGTTAATCGGGTGAAATTTATTAGCTTCGCCCCGCGCCCATCGATATATTGCCCTTTAAATGGAGGGGAATGACTCACCCTCCATCCGTGAGGATCGGGGCAACAGCCATCACCAATGTCATCTTCGGCCTCGCTCGATGTTGAGCTGGAGTGAGGAAAAACTGGCAGCGTGGGGGCACGAGAGCTGTCATCAAAGCGGTTCACATGATCGCCATTCATTGCTACACTAGATCTCGGAGCGATTACCCAGCCCTCCGGCGAGGCCGTTGAAAAGGGGAGCGACTCAACTGCCACCGTGCTCGCGCTGACTGTTGTGGCGAGGTTCCCTGACACTGAGCGCTGGTGTTGCTGATGCGAGTGTAAATAAGGGCCAAAGTGGCCATCACGTGGCGTAGTCGCCGCGCTGGAGCCGCTAGAGCGGGATGTCGGGGTTGCGGTTGCTGCCGTGGCAGTCAGGTGCGCCAGACGGCTGCTACGATTCCAATGCGAAGTCGGTGGAGGGTGTCGGCGGCCAAGATGAATCGCTGTAGCACGGCCCCTGTGGTCGGGCAGCTGAGGCGGGTAACTGGAACGGTTGGCTCTCAGGCGTGTCGCCTCCTGGCCAACTTCAAGGTGATTTGCGGGAAACATGCGGTGGAGGGGACGCCCAACGGTTGAGAGGTCAGAGGATAGGGCAACGCCAGAGCCGACCGTACCAGTCATGCCGTTTAAAGACAGCCCAGCGAGAAGGCTACCGGTCTCCGCTATGGGGGGACTGGCGAGAATTGCATCGTCAGCAGCACCGATCTCACCCCGACTGCCGTCCGCAGGCTGAAGGGAGTCATTTTCTCTGCGTGACGTCGCATATCCATCAATGCCGAAAGAGACCGCGGTCCCTTGGACGGTCTCTGCGCCGCCCTCCGTGCCCTCAGACTCATCACCTGGTTGTCGTAGATGGTGGTAGCGCTCGTCAGGCTCGAACAAACGCTGATCAAATACTTCCTCACCGGAGACCTCGTTCGCCTCCTGATCTGTAGTGCTTGCCACCTCATCTTCCGAGTCCGTATTGAGGAGGCCGTACTGGCGGGGCTCGTTTGTGACATCACTGGAGCTACCGAGACGGATTACACTCGGGAGACGGCTAGTCGAGACGGAAGCTAAAAGCAGAAAAAAGGTACAGCCGATGTGAAGAGGTGTTATCGGTTAATTGGAAGTCTAAGTGGATCTTACTTCTAAAGTTCCGCTGAAGGCTTATCTTTTCAACTCAGCAAACAAATAAGGCACATTTTGGAGCAAAATTTAGAGTTTCTGAGCGTTAGTAGCATGACATGTTTCAGTTAGATGGTTTGAAAATGACTGCATTTTTCAGTGAGTGAAAAAATACGCTCACTGGAGATTTCGGAAATCCACAGAATGTTCATGCCCTCTAGAACAGGTCAATGGCCCAAAAGAAGACACAGTCGCGTAATTGGTAATGCACATACCGTTGTTCTGCTATTCACAATAATTTTTTTCAGATTTTCGTAATGTTTTATTGACCAGACGAAGGAAAGGAAAGATTTGTCTTCGTCGCTTAAGTCAACATAACGGAGAAATGTTTAGGCAGATTGTGAATAATTCATACTGACCCAACTGCGGAAAACTCAGCGCCTCGGTAGGATTTTAACCCACGACGGTAAGGTAGAGGCTTTAGTGCAGCCACCGCTCTAACCACCTGAGCTTCGAGGTCCTGAAGTCAACTTACTGTATCAGATTTGATGGATTCCAGACATTGCAGTAGTTTTGGCGAGTAAACTGCATCGTTGCACTTGGTGTTCAACGATCCCTGATGAAGGGGCAGGCGTGAATGCTCATTGGTATGCGGTGGTATGGCGACTGCATCCTATACGTACTGCAGCCCCTTGTGTGTGAAGCACCCGTAATTGCTGTTGTCTCTGATGATGGATTCGGGCAGGAATCCGAAACGTTAGGCTAATAAAGTTCCTGTCCCAGCTATTGTGTCTCCTTCTTCAAGAAGCGGACTTAATTTAACAACGAGTGGTCGATCTCTTGAAATGTCGGCTGGAATTCTCAGATGCGTTTTCGGTTAAGAAGGATTACTTAGGCGCGGTTATAATACTGACTATCGTCCGGCATAATCATATAATATTTTGGACTCGGCAGGATTTCAACATTTGAATAGACTGTTTTTCGATCTCCAGTTGAATCCGTATTAGGTAAAAAATGACTACTTATTTAGCATGAATTTTGCCCGTTAGGTTTCGATGGACTTTCAAATCCATATATATTTTATGGAAACCAAAAATATGCTTTCTTTCATTCGCTTGAAAAAGGCTCAGGGCTTCTTCATATTTTAAACTCTAAGAAGGAGTATAACAATTTTTTTAAAAGGTTACGAATTATCGGATTTTTTAAGACCACGCAATGACCCATTCACCTAGCATCGCACCTGGCCGTCTACCACAGTTCCTCATTAAATACATAACATAGACCACATCCATTGCGACATTTTACGGACTCTGTTTCACATCTTTTTAAAGAGAGAGAAAAATATGTGATTTTCTTTACGCGAACCGCATACACCTTGTATACTGAAACCACTAAGCGCTAATGTAACGAACGATCAGGTTCCAAATTATTTGGGAATCAGAAATATTTTTCAAAACCTAAATGTACAACTTCTTCGACTATAAAACATAAAGAAAACGTGATTTTCTATCCGACGACTGAAAGAAAGCATATTTTGTTAATGTTTTCGGAAACAATCGGGAGATGGCACCCAAAAACGTCCGTCTAACCAAAGAAGCCTATCTGACGGGATAGGTGGTAATTGGGGTTTTATGTGTGGTGGCTGGTCGGGATGTACGATACTAGCCGACGGGAAGCCTTATTTAAACAGGTGAACAATCGAAGTTGGCCCGCTCTCCGTTCCGTTATCACAAAATGGGTCGCCAAAGGCAGTATAGTGGTAACGAACGAGTGGAAGGCGTATAATCGCGTTTCCTTAGAAGGTTATCTACATTTCTCTGTTAACCACTCAAAGAACTTCAAAGACCCTACGACCGGACTGCACACCAATGCTATTAAGACATAGTGGAGTAGACTGAAAAGGAAACTCTACAAGGGAGACCCTGTATGTGGTCGAGCTGTGTGGGCTCACATAGGCGAAGTACAGTACCGTCTTTGGTTTGGCCTCGATGCCGTGTCTTTGAAAGATGCCTAGGAACTGTTCCTGTCCCATGTTCTGCAGACTTATCCTAATTAAATGTGATTTTGTTTTGTAATAAACTGCCATAATGCGCATGTATGCCGTATATTCAGATGTACGTGTGTAACGATGGGGAAGGTTGGGTAACAGCGACCATCTTCCATGTAACCTCCTGCGATGTTCGTTCGGCCAGCCCATATTAAGCCGTCGCGGAAAGTCCAAGTAGAGCGTGAAAGCAGGCATGCAACCACAGATATAGCCCGAAGGCGGATTTGTGACGGATTTGTTGGGTGCCATATCCCAATTGTTACCCCTTTACAAATCACTTTGGTAAATGGAAGGACACGACGTTTTATGAGGGGCCAGTTCACGATATTAAAAAAATCTTACAATCAGAAAATTTTTTAAAATCGAAATATACCATTCCTTTGAGTATAAAATGGAAAGAAGGCGTAATTCTCTACCAAAATATCAAAAGAATGAGTATTTTTATGCATGTCTTCCATGAAATATAATTGAATTGTAATTAAATCGTAATTGTTCCGCCTCCTCTTCATTCCCTGCCCCTCACTCAGTGACCTACCATGACCTCGGGAGCCCACACCCCTCACACGTCAGTGGTCTGCTCTGTCTTATCACACCAACTGGTCTACCGTGACAAAATATCTTTCTCCCTCGTTTTCATTTCGTCTGACGACGGGTTGGTGTTACCAGCTCAAAAATACACAAGTACAACTCGACTTTTCCGAAAAACCTCTTCTGTTTTTCATTATATCAACTCGGAATGCATATCCCCTCTGATCTACGACGCATATTCGGCAGTCAAACGCTTATTATTACCAGTTTTTGGGAGAAATTCACACAAAGACATGTGATGACTTGCGAACAACTGACTTTTCTCCCCCGCTGTAGCGATCACGGTGTGTTACCGAAGTTTCTTTGTTTCAAACCGACATTGCCGAATGAGACCGGGAGATTTCTTGCTCGCAAATACGGATGGCGTGTTTTGAGCGCTGTAATATCGGACGTTCACAATTGTCTCCACAAATTCGACGCAAAAATTACTGACCTAAAAAATCAATGCGCTGTAGTGCTACCAAAGCACGTAATCCAGGATGTGCAGCAAAGAATAAACGCCACCACCTAGGATGCCAGATTGAAGAAGAGACTTGATCTCCAGGAGAAAATACAATCAATTTTCCGTCCTACGAACCAAGGAAGTTTGACCACGAGAGTTGTCAACCTATCGAAGAGGAGTCTATCACCTGCGGAAATCACCCTCCTATCAAAGATAATAGGATTTAATCATGCGGATACCACACCTGCCGACTTCCTAGCTGGGCTTGAGTCCATTCTACTGGCCTCCAACATTCCGGAAGACATGCGCGCGAACATGCGAAGCTGCGCCACCGGTATTCTCCGGCGAAAAAGATACCGACAAAATCTACCGGCCGAAGAAGCGCAGGCATTACGATCATTGAAGTCGGATCACAGTATTGTCATTGTTCCCGCAGACAAGGGTGGCGCTACTGTCATCATGGACACAATTGAATACGTTGACAAGGCGAATGAAATCTTTAGTGACACGGAGGCCTATACCCCTCTTGCTGAAAATCCGATTAAAAAGCAAACCGCAGCCGTCAAAAAGAAGGTTAATGAGTTCGTTCGGTTGAAAGTTATCAGTCCAGATGACTCCAAGTTGATGACCCTCAGTGACCCCCACATCGCACACGCGTACGGCCTCCCAAAAGTGCACAAAGCGGATGTCCCCCTGAGGATTATAGTGCCACTTATCGGATCACCCACTTACAATATAGCTAAGTGGTTATACAGTCGTCTGAAGCGGCTCACTCATGGATCGGATTATAGCATTAACAACTCTCAAGCGTTCCTCCGCAGGGTACAAGGCCTCACAGTAAGTGCCGATGAATGCTTCCTGTCCTTTGACGTCGTTGCCTTGTTTTCTTCCAAACAACACGATTTGGAGATTGAATGCGTAACCCAACGCCTACAGAATAATCCTATTGAGATCCCAACGGCGCATGTTATCGAACTGCGAAATCTTTGCCTTAGGAACTATTGTCAATTCGATAATAAGTACTAACAAAAGGTAAAGGGAACGCCGATGGGCTCACCCGTATCAGGACTGCTCGCCGAACTAGTTTTGCAGCGACTAGAAGAGATAGTTTTCCTAACTATCAAGCCTAAGCTATGGCTTCATTACGTTGATGACACCTTTGTCATAATAAAGAAGTGCGAAGTCGAACGTCTTCACCAGAGACTGAATGACGTCTTCCCAGCAACACAGTTTACGCGCGAAGAGGCAACTGGAGACAGCTTGCCGTTTCTGGACGTGAGAATACAGAAGTTAAGCGATGGTACCCTGGCGACAAGCGTCCATAGGAAAGACTCTAATTCTGAGATTATCCTCAAATATGGAAGCAACCACCCCGCAGCTCACAAAAGAAGCTGCGTCCGAACTCTGTTCCACCGGGCCTACCGTTATTGTAACAGCAACGATCTCCTGAACGAAGAGCTTGCTCACCTGTATCGGTTATTCCGCTCTAACGGATATCAGATCAGTTTTGTAAAGAACTGTCTCAGGCACCAGACACAGTCGCAAGACCCCACTCCCAACGGAGAGATTGCGAAGCGGAAATTCTACTCCTTGCCATATATAAGTGGAACTTCCGAAATAATCCCCCGGCAGTTCAGCCCCTTGGGAATTCACGTTGCCCACAAACCGGCATCTTCACTACTCGCAACACTGTCTCAAATGAAAGATCCCATCCCGAAAGAGCAACAAACGAATGTAATTTATCGCATCCCGTGTGCTAATGGCTCTTGCGTGTATGTTGGCCAAACAGGTCGATGCCTAGGCACCCGTATCAACGAACACAAATTAGCTATCCGTCGGCGAGACCCCCTGTCCCTCGAATTTGCCCATGCACTCGAGTACGACCACTGATCCAATTGGGATGGCATGAGGTCGTCGCCATGGCTAACACAAAGCGCGCGAGGGAATTTCTCGAGGCCTGGTACTCCGATGCGGGTAGTATCAACCGCCAAGTTGACTTAGATGTCCATTACGAGGGTCTACGTTCACGAATGACTCCCCCCTGCCCTAATCACGCATCAACGACTGCGAATACAGCCGCCCGCATTCCAACTGATTCACCACCCGCCCTCCCCCTCCAGCCCAGTGTGCCGTAATTTTTACGCCTCCTCTTCAATCCCCGCCCCTCACTCAGTGACCTACCATGACCTCGGGAGCCCACCACCCTCACACGTCAGTGGTCTCCTATGTCTTATCACACCAACTGCTCTACTGTGACAACATAACTTTATCCCTCGTTTTTATTTCCTTTGACGACGGGTTTGTGTCAGCAGCTCGAAAATTCACGAGTACAACTCGACTTTTCCGAAGAACCTCTTCTATTTTTCATAATTGAATCTTTAAGGGCACCGAAAATCAATTAAAAATGTGCTTCCCACTTAAGTAGCCATTTTCTTTACGGAGAATGGTTTCTCGATGCATCAGAAAAGAGGCTTTTTCGAAAGCCGGCGTCCTGGGGTAATGGAATTATTATAGAAATGTGCTGCGCAATAATTGTTTTACAACCCTACTCTATTAATCTTTTTGAAACGGAAACGCATTTTGAAATTTCTCTAGAGATTTCTGAAGTTAGCCCACCTACTGTACGTGTGATGCACGTGACAATGCAGCAACACTTGTCAAAATGTCAGGCCGAGGTCAGCGTCAAGATCTAGATCTAATTTTCCTACTCGGTAGTCAGAGCCACCAGGTGCGATTGCAGTCACGGGGTGAAAACAAGGTCGGCTAAATCCGGTGGAGAATAAATATGCGATACTGCACGCAAATCGTACTTACGTAGCGCGTTTAGCGCAAAAATCCTGTTTTAGCTCTGCTGAAACTGTTAGTGTTTAATCAGTGTGCCCAGTTGCCTGTTCCCCTACAAAATGCCACGTTGTAGATGAGCCGAACCAACAGGGGGGCCAGGTCGAACAGCGACATGGGTTATTTGGCCGTTCACCCATAACAAATGCAACACAATGTGGCGTGGCACGCCTAGGCGCGGGCCCATATCGCGTCAGTCGGCTGTAACCTGTCCTGTATCCAGTCACCTGATCGAAATTCGGGGGGATTATGAATGAGAAAGTGCTGTAAAAGCAACGTAGATCTATAATCACTATAAACTAATTCGCGCACAATTTGACGTTGATGCGTCAACCATACTGCTGTGGAAAGCATAGGTAACGACGTGTGATTCTGAAATACAGGTTATATAAAGCAGTCAAATGACAAACAAACAAACATCTAGACCTATTCTGACTTGAATAACCTAAACCATCAAAACAATTTTATGGCATGCGTCAAAATTAAGTAATGGTAAAAGACACCGACCTATGAACACCTAACCGCCAGCAAGATAGAAGGCCGGAGTAAAATATGGCACGCGAATGGGTAACACGAATTAACCGCACGTTAACTCTCCCCTACCATCTGCCATCCAGCATTCGTAATGCTGCAAAATGTTTACCGCCACCTGACGCTGGCCCAGTAGCTTAGGGTAGCTCGAGGGGACCTTGTAAATCACACGAAATGCTTCGGTGGGGTACACACGATAGCCGGCAAAAGGTGAAACTAGGAGAATAGACAGCGCCATCCTTGCGCATGCAGTGGACTCATGGCATCGTGTGGACTCCACCGAAGCATTTCGTGTGATTTACAAGGTCCTCTCGAGCTACCCTAAGCTACTGGGCCAGCGCCTGTTAGCAACAGCAGAAGCGGCCGCCATGAGGTTACGAAAACCGACCCCATGCGCCCAAAGGAACCTTGTTCAGGCTCCGCGCTTACCGTGGTCAAAGGTTGACTAACCACATACAACATTCGGCGCCCTTCCGCTCTTGCCGAGCCTGTAATTTAAAAACCTAACTTTTATCGATTTTTGTTTCACTCACTGTACCCCGCCCTATGTAACTGTTTTGGCCTGATGAGAATTTACCGAAAGGAACGTTCACTCGCCACTCTCTTTACTGATTTTTTTTGTAATAAACTACCATAATGCGAATGTATGCCGTATGTTCAGGTGTACAGGTGTAACGATGGGGAAGGTTGGGTAACAGCGACCATCTTCCATGTAACCTCCAGCGATGTTCTTTCGGCCAGCCCATGTTAGGCCGTCGCGGAAAGTCCAAGTAGTGCGTGAAAGCAGGCCTGCAACCACTGATATAGCCTGAAGGCGTTTAAGTCTACTGTAAAAGGTATTATTTCTAGGTGACGGATTTGTTGGGTGCCATCTCCCTATTGTTACCGATTTTCGATGCCCTAAAGGATTTAATAAGATTTCATCGGAATCATGCATAAAAAACATTCATTCTTTAGCTGATTCCGTAGAAAATTACGTCTTCTTTCAAGTTGATTCTCGAAGGAAGGGTATAATTTGGTTTTATAAATTTCTTTTTTATTTCACGAATAATGTTAAACCCCGCCTGCCGTAACACTTGAACTCAGTGTTCTTAAACATCAAACCGTATAAGTTCCGCGTACGTAAAACCATACATTTCTCTCTGGTCATAAGAGGGGGATCATATGGGTTTCACGGAATTAAGTAGTGGATTTGAACAAAATTGTAACCTTAACAAACCACATCGGGCAATGCGGAGACATGGAGTTTTATGAAGGGCCATTTCACGATATTAAGAAATCTCAGAAGTGCAAACTTTTTTTAAAACCAAATTATTCCCTTCCTTTGAAAGAAAAATTGAAAAAAAGGCTTTTTATGAAATACAATTGAATATTTGAGGCACCGAAAATCAACGAAAAAAAACAACTGCTACTTAACTAGCTATTTCTTACGGAGTATCATCTTTGGATGCATCAGAGGAGAGGTTTGCTCGAAAACGGGCGTCCTGGGGTAACTGAATTGTTATAAAATTATGCTGCAGAATGATTGCTTTTACAACCCTACTCGATTAATCTTTTTGAAACGGAAACGCATTTTGGAAGTTCTTTAGAGATTTCATAAGTAAGCCTAACTACTGTACGCGTGGTGCACGTGACAATGCAGCAACACTTGTCAAAATGTCAGGCCGAGGTCAGTGTCAAGATCTAGATCTAATTTTCCTGCTCGGTAGTCAGAGCCACCAGGTGCGAGTGCAGTCACGGGGTGAAAGCAAGGTCGGCTAAAACCGATGGAGAATACGTATGCGATAAAGCGCGCAAATCTTACTCTCGTAGCGATGTCTGTACAACAAACCGTGCTCGACGAGGTCACATATTATGGGGAGTACATGCGGAGGGGAGGGGATCTTCGCGAAGGAAAAGCCTATGCCAGGAACATCTACTTTCTTGGTTGGCGATGAGATCCGTGTGGCATCAAATGCCACATTTAGTGCGGCAAGCAGCAACCGTCACATAAAACATTAAATTGCAGCGGGGTCTAGCTCGCAAACAATAATGAATAGAATGCTGTGAAAACTGTTTTTTCACATTCTGAGGTCCTCGACAGGACATGGTGCTAGCGCGTTTAACACAAGGATCTTGTTTTTACTCTGCTGATGCGGTTTTGTGTTGTTATCCTCACTGTAATGCCACACTTATTCTCCCTCGAAACGACACACAGGGTAAAAAGCTGCCGTGGACACCTCACTAGCAGGCCACTACACAGGCTATGGTATTGATCGAGACAGTTAAATTTTACAAAGTCACGGTTTAGGTCTTATTAAAGGAAATCTGCACTCTGTCGCAGGCGTCCTTCTATGCCAAAAAGAAACGTTTTTGTTTCACAATAGCACGAGGAGCACACGCTCAAACGTGACATCATATGATGCACAACCGAATCGAGAGGCACCGATTAAGAAAGTTTTATTTTTCATACCCCATCGCATGTAAATGAGTCCGCACGGAATATTTCGAAACGCCCGGTTCTGATAAATCTGAACGTGTCCATCACGGACTAGTCTCCCCCAGTTCCTCAAGGAGTTACCCCGTAGGAATTGAAGGTCGTTTGCTGTCTGTGACTGCTTCCGTTTTCATTTCATCAGACACGAAATTCGAAAACCTTCTTATCACCGTTCTTACAGCGCATCTTCGTAGAAAGTTGTTTGCTTATTTTCAGCTGCATCCGTAGCACAGGGAGACATTTTAAACTCATTTGATACCAGCAGTACGGATAACGGGTCACAGATAACTGCTTGTCCCTTTGAGAGGACATTTGCAGGTTTATAGTTCGACCGTTTTTACCGTTAATGGCCAAGGTGTGGCCCATAGCATTGCAGGCGCAGAAATAGTGACTTGTGTGTGTGAAGTAGTTCTGGTAGGCTTGCGCTGAATCTATCGCACGCGCTCCTTCCTCATCCACCTAGGCCTGGTATCAAGATAAAGTCATTGATACCAGGAGACGGGGAGGGTGCAAGTGATCGGCGCGACGTGTTGTGGCGTCCCGCTATAACAGCATGCATGGCATTTGATATGAATGGACAGACCAATAACGCGTGTTGTGTCCTGAGCTGGCTATCGTGGCGCGTTACAGGAGCGCATAACTGCGGACCACAGTTTCAAGGCCCTATTTTTCTAGAGAAAGCACACTCTAAATCACTTTTTGTATATTATGATCTTTCACTCAATCACAGTAAACCTACAACAACCAGTTATTCACCGAGAAATGTAATATTATCTGCGGGCATGCTGAAACGCCATTTGGCCAATGTCGTGCCAACATACGAATATTTCGGCGCACAGTTTCATCTTACACACTTGTGAGAGCACCTCATAGACCCTCGAGATCTTTCGGCGAATGGTGGCTGAGCAGTCCTCAAATCAAACAGGAAGATAATCAAGTTTCTGCTCACGAACAGCGGTTGGTACTTAAGGCGCGTACGCATGGAAAAAACTAGCCTATGTAAAGTTAATAGCCATGGGAATTCAGTTCAGAAATGCTACCCCAATGGATCCGCTTGGGCTTCCGTGAAGTTCTCACCTCCTCCTGGTAATAAGATCAGCAATACAAATCTACAAAGCGATTATTACGACAACAAATTGAGGCATAGCGGGTGACTACTGAATCGCTATCATATGGAGCCATTTTGAGACAGGGTGATTGGGCTTGTTAAGTAGGTCAGGGGATCAGTAGACGCACCTGAGGACGCCTAAAAGCGGCCACCGTCCCTGTACACGCAAGTTCGAACACATGTGAACAACCTGTGAATTTAATTAACCTCCAGCGACCCAGTGGCGCAGATGACGTAACTAACGACTGTCAAGTGTCGGCATTTAAAGTAGAAGTGGATGTACACTAGATAGAGGGTTCTGTGGAGCAGCAATGACTAGCATACAGTAAGCACATTATCCACGGAGTGACTTCGTGACAATCCAGACGCAATCTTTATGGAAAATTAACGAAAACTAAATTTGCGCTAGTATAGTTGGTGTACTAACTCGAGAATGGTCAAACGAAATACCGAACTGTATTTTCGTTTATAAAAGATTAATTAAATAGGGTTTTAAACCTGATTATCATGCAGCATAATTTAATAATAGATCAGTTGCCTCAGGATTTTGCTTTCAAAAAACGCCTTTTTGCCTGCATGCAGAAGAATTACTCTGCAAAAATGACTAGTCAAGTAGCATGTAAATTTCCCATAGATTTTTGATTTCGTTAAATATTCAATTATATTTCATGGAAAGCAGGCATAAAAATATTAATTCTTCTGTTCATCTGGTGAGAAAGTACGTCTACATTTAATTCGAAGTTTAAAAACTTTTCCAATTTCCGAATGATTTTAAGCCCGACCTGCTGTTATACTTGCATCCAGAGTTTCCAAACTACAAACCATATATTTTCCGCGTACGGGAAACCATATATTTTTTTACAGTATAAAAAAGAGACTATGTGGGCGTCATAAAATGTAGCAGTTAATTTAAGCCGCGTTGTTAACTTTACAAGCCACATTGGTAAATGCAGAGGCATGAAGTTTTATGAACGGCCATTTCACATTATTAAAAAATTTCACTATCAAAACTATTTTGAAACCGAATTGTCCCTCCTGGGAGTATAAAAGTGAAAGAAGACATAACTTTCTATCGAATTAACAAAAGAACTGATATTTTTATGCACGTTTTCCATGAAATATAATTGAATTTTTAAGGTTTTCGAAAATCAATGAGAAAAAGTCATGTTACATAAGTAGTCACATTTAACATAGTTTTCTTTTTGCTTGCATCCGGAAAGACGTTCATTCGATAGCAGGCATTTTGAGGTAACTGATTTATTGTAGAATTATGCTGCATGATGACCATTTTTACAGCACTATTAAATAAATCGTTTCGAAATGAAAACTCACTTTCGAATTACCGTAGACATTTCATGAATTAGCCTACCTACTGTACTTGTTGTATGATCTAACAACACTATTCGCTTGCAAAATTCCGACCGGGAAAACATGCAAGGGCTCCATGCAACACCTGAGAGTTACTTATTTTCCAGGTAAAGCTATGAGGACAGAGTTTAACAGAGAACGTGTTAGGGTAACTGAAAACAGTTTCTTATCCCATTAACAAACTCCATGCAAAATTAAATGTTCTCCAGCTCAAGTGGCTTTGGTGGATTACCAAGGTCGTTAATGCCCCGAACGTCTGTTTTGAAGCACGTAATTGTTTTTTGCATCACACAGCACTAAGTGCCTACTGACGGCAACTTAGCCAGAGCTGGCGCTGTCACTGACCTTGTTGCCCGGCTGCGATAATTCTCGGAGAAAATCAGACGAATAAATCAAATTACGCGATCGCCGGTGATTATAATACCCAGGGTGTTTTCAAGGACCCCTCGCAATTGTACAGTCATATCCGCTACCGAAAAAAGTCAAAGTCAATCGATCCTGATCGCATTCTGGTGTAAGCCAATGACCGAAGATTTAAAGTCTTGTTAACTTGTCCGTTCGGTGGCCGTGAAAGGCAGGATTGTGACGGGGGTCACATACAACTGTAGACGCCTGCGCGGGGGATTCAACGTTTCGCCAAAAGAGGGTTTTACAGGAGTCAGAGCAACATTTTCCGACGTATCCACGGGGCAATGAGTCAGTATGAAACCGCATTCAAGCGACGAAACCTAGGTCATCGTCGCATACTGCATCCTCGCCCCTTTCATAAATGGCGTCTGCGCAAATTCATGGAATGCAATCGAATTCTTCTGTGAAAATAACTTGGAAAAACTGCGAAGAATTCTGGACTTTTGATTGCACTGTCATCATTCTTCAAGGATCTGGTTCCTGGGACATGAGTTATTTAGCCTGATAGTCGTAGAGCAATTTGTCGCGCGGACGTCGCCCCAACATTTTTCGAATGTTTACCTACTATGGTGCCCTTCTTCTTGCGGTGTAACCCCACTTATAAAACTCGTACTGCACGATCAACTGGTTTTTTCCCCCGAATAGATCGCCTACCGCGTTCTTGCATTGTTCACTTTGAAACGGTTTGTCGAGACTCAGGATATATTTGGGACTATACATATTGTGTTCGTTGGTCTCCAATTCTCCAAAGTTTGGCCAGCAAAATAAGGATCTCTGTTGTGCACAGGCCATTACAGGAAGCATACGATATAGATTGCAACTAATCCCAACGGGATGATGAGCATTCAACGCGGAGGCATATCGATGAAAGCACGGTAAACGCCGGAAGCGAATACATAGAACATGCTCATTTGATTTCTCTCAGTGTTAAGACATAAATGGATTGTTAGTTACAAATGGGATCCATTTAGACAAAGCACGTGTCAGATAAAAAGTACAAAAAGTTTCGAACTTTCCATCCCACAGACACTATCCAATTGTCAACCGCCCGAATTCAAACATATCAGTTCATCTCTGGACTGTTGTGATCAAGAATATTAGCACTGTGAATCGTTTGACATTTTGTCCCTTTGAAAACCCAGCTTGCAAGCCAAGCCTATTATTACCTGAACAAATCTTTAGTCGGATTTGCGTAGGGAGGCTACTTTAGGGTATATGGCTGGCGTTAGTATCGTTTTAGCGTGAAGCAACTCAATCGAAGACCTCCATCACGTTTGTAACGGAGTTAGAGGTGGACTTGCGCGCACCTGACGCACTCTCTTCTCACTCACCCATCTGGCTCCAATGACAAAACATTGCCAAGATGACCGCAGTGGCTGACAAGACCAAACAGGCTGTCTACGCATGCCGAACACGACCCCATTCCTTTAAGAGGCCTTAGAACTAGCAAGCGTGAGAGCGTCAAATAGGCCACGATAACAAGGAGTCATAACAGCCTGGATCTCACTTCGGAGAAAGACCGCGCTATCCTGTCATTTGATAACCCCTCAAACCACGACTCATAACGTGTACTCAGATCATCTAGCGCGATAGTGAGGAATGCGCTGAATCGCCTCGGATACGTCCAAATCATCCAGCTCCTGAAGTTCTGTCTCAAGACGTACTTTACGTTTGACGGAACAATCTACGAGCAGATAAAGGGGACGCCAATGGGTTCGCTGATTTCGGCACTCATAGCCGAGGCGATCCTTCAACGGCTGGAGTCGCTGGTTTTCCGACACCACAGACCGAAATTCTGGGCTCGGTATGTGAATGACAACTTCGTCGTCATCGAACGGGATCAGGTGCTGACATTCAAAGAACATCTCGACGCCGTCTTCCTGGACATTCGATTAACGATGGAGGAGAAAAACAACTAGCTGGCCTTCCTGGATGTTCTTGTCTGCCGCAAAGATTGTGGTGGCCTAAAAACCAAGTGTTCAGGAAAGCGACAAATGGGACGCAAATACTGAACTTTAATAGCGACCACCCGACTTGTCACAACTGCAGTTGCGTAAGGGCATTATAACGGCGCGTTGAAACGTACTGCAGTGAAATGGAAGACAAGGTTGCTGAATTACAATATCTTCGACGGGTAATGAGAGCCAATGGTTACCAGCGCAACTGTGTCAACCAGTGCATATGAGAAGGATACCAGAAACCAAATCAAGTCGGCTCCAAATTTTGGCAAACTCTTCCGTGCGTGAAGGACGTCTCGGAATTCGTCAGTAGTATTCTAACTCCACTTGGATTCGGGGTTGCACACAGGCCGGAAGCAACCATAAGGCTCCAAGTCATGAAGCCAAAGGACCCGCTGCCACGGCAGGAAACGTCTGGAGTCGTTTACCGGATCTGGTGTAGTTGTGGACAAAGCAAATATGGCGGAAAAACTGGAAGATTACTCTATATACTAATTGCCGATCACGCAGCGGCAGTGAGATGGGGAGACGCTAACTCTCAGGTGGCGGCTCATTCGACGGGATCTGACAATATTTTCATGTTTCAAGAGGCCGAAATCCTCGCAAGTTTTGAGAACCGCATGAGCCACGAGCTGCTCGAGTCATGGTTCTCAGGCCCGCAATCCATCGACAAGCACAATGACCTCCCGGTACCATATTCCGTACTGCGATTTTTCCTCGGCAGGAGAAACAGTCACGTGAGGAGAGCGCGGGCGAGCATCCAGCACGGATGACGAAATCGCCGCAATTAACGACTCGGACTTGGACTGACAAGCCACCACCGCATCAATTACGACCCCAGTGGTGACTGCGAGAACTGTTAATTGCGGTGCGCATACGGTCCCACGGCAGCCACGTGCTATGAATACTGCACTCCTTGTGCCCCGATCACCTTTATCTGTGAATGTCTCTGATGATGGGTTCGAGCGAGAATCCGAAACGTCAGGCAAATAAATTTCTTGTTCCAGTGATCGCATCTTCATCTTCTGAATGCGCTGATTTTTCACTGAGTCTGGTCCCTCAGAGCCGGTCTTAACCTCCCCTTTTCCACTCACATACAGCAGTCGACTGTCCTAGCCTGTCAGTCGACGGGCGACTGAGTTAGGCCCTGCGTGCATATGCTATACCACGCCTTTTCAAACCATGGCCCTCACAGTCTGGTGCGAAGTGGCAGTTCTCTGGTACCTGATTCCCGGCCGGTAGATGCGTTTGCGCTCCCACAGGCCTTATGCATGGTTACCCAGTGACCTGTGTCTTCCCTTCCTCTTTCTGACCCGTTGATTTGGTTTTTCTCTAAAATTCTGGTCGAATTTTTTATGTGGACCAGAGCGGTGTGTGTGTGGGTGCGTCTAGGTGGGTGTCCGAGCGTGCCAACCACCTGCACCCTCTCCCGTCTTCGGTCTTCTTGACTATGTCTTGACACCGAGCCCATACGGGAGGGGAATGGGAGAGTACAGTAGATGTTGTGCAAGCCTACTCATACTATAACCTTATTTACATGCGAGTGATCGTGCCTGTTTTTACCTTGCAGTAGAGCACACGGCGGACACCGTCGGCAACTAGGGGCGATCTGGTGAGTTTGGGTCCAGCAGCTGGCTCGCCAGTCTCGGCGTGAGTAGACCCATCACAGTTCTCCGAAGGCGTGAACTTAGACAATCTGAAACCTCCTTTTTTAGCCCACTGCGCACCTTCAGTAGAGACTGTTGTGGAATAATTAAGGTCACAAAACCTCTATCTTTATGGGTAAACGATTCAATTTCACAAGATCTTAGAACCCCTATCTCAGCAAAGGCAGCTTTCGTTGGCTTGTGATTCCAGGGAAGGAAAAAAATTAAATACGAGCGAAAGCGTGGGCATATGTTTTGCCCCCACCAGCTGTTGAAGGTGCGAGCACATTGAGGGCTTTTTCACTGACAAAATCATTTTGGAACTGCACAACGAATAAGACAATAATGCGTGATTGGCAGACGGAAATAAGCACACGGTAATCTAGGCGACAGAAACAGAAGTAGTCTAACTATGGTCCAGTGCGTGGGAAGGTTGAGCACATGTGAGGTATCCTCTGCGCCAAATATGTCTCCAGTAGTTGCAAGGGCTATGGTTGGAACCTCGCACAATACAAATATCAAGATATCGCTCTAGAATTTGAAAAAAAATAAGTCTTCTAGTAGCGTTTGCAAATTATTTTGAGATTTCTTGTCTTGATGACCGTCACGCCAGGTAAGTTTAAGAAATCAAATTCGTTGTAAACAGTTAAAACTAATATAAAAATCAACATTCCCATACGAAAACAACTTTTTTCGAATTGTCAACTCCCTTTTTCAGCTTTATATCATCCTAACCGTTTTGAGACTTCAAAATTCCAGATTTTTTATAAAAAAACTTATTCATTCCTCTGACGAGAGTCAAGGGCCGTTAGTTTTAACTGGCATAATAGGTTAAAAAGAATAAATGAAATACAAGCGCACTGCGTCTAATCGTGTGTTGCGTTGCGCCACGGTAAACATGCTCTTAGGAATCGTAAAACAGTAAATAATCCTTCCTTTCTAGACAGCCATAAAGACTGGTTTTACGACCATATATTCCATTCTAGAATGAGTAAAGCACATCTAGTATACAGTAGATGGACAATATAGCATGATAGCATACGTGAGATGCACATGACGTAGTTTTGTTTAGCTCAATACCGTCTTTGACGGCTTTTCAGGCCTTTCACTCGAAGACACTTTTATTTCGCTGTGTGCTTCACTCAAAGCAACTAGAGCTTTCATCGTGCTGCGTATATTAAAAACTCCGTCATTTCATGAACATGGGCCCAACTAGTTTCGGTCAGCTGGAGTCTAAAGGAACTTTACAGGTGCACAAATCCCACAGAGCACTAGAAGGAGAAAATTACATTATAACCCAAACGGCCCACACTTGTTAGTACGGTAAGACATGCAAATAAGGACTCCCACCCGCGTAGTGCAGGTGGACCTGTGTTATACACCAAGAGCCTTACCTATTGCTATGTCACCAGCTTAACACTGACCCTCACTCTGATCTCACAGGGAGTTAGCAAAAGGCCACTTAAATAATGGGCAAGTATATATTCCCGGGTCCTACGGCTAACACGATTTCTGACAACGAGGGGGGTCTCGCGAAAAAAATTACATTACACTTAGCTGTCCGTCAGAGAGAATAGATAACCCTGACTGAGACAGAAGTTCCTAAATTCAGGCATTCCTTCATGTAGCCTGGTCGTCACGTACTTGCGAAGGATTCTGTGGAACCTCTCCTTTGCTATCAATAACATCCAGGCAGCGTCAATGCATTGTGCAATAATTTACCGTATTAACAACACAGGTATTAGCTAAAAGCTCAGACAAGCGCGTTTCGCCTGTTTCGAAAGAGTAACTCCAAGTTCGCGCATTAATTTCCTCGGAAATTAAGCAAGGCAAGCTGAAACTGGAGTTCATATACCAGGAAACACACGGGGGAAGCTGGGGGACCCACTGACGAGCCGAACCCCTCGCAGCTGCGTCAGGCAGTGGCACAAGATCAGCAAAACACGCGTGTCTGGGCTTTTAGCTACTACCTGTGTTGTTAGTACGGTAAATTATTGCACAATGCTATACTACTGGCTGCCTGTTGGCGGTTTGTGAATAGTAAGCGGTTGTTCCGCAGTAGCTGATGGATTTCAGCTCAAATATTCATATCAAATTTCGGACCGTGCCTGAAAAGGCCTGTTTCGAAAGAGTTACTCCAAGTTCGCGCAAAAATGTCCTCGGAAATTAAGCAAGGCAAGTTTCGATGCATCTTGTAATGTTTTAGGTATACCGTAAAATTCACAGCTTAAAAAAATCTAGAGCAGAGGACAGATGAATATAACATAACCTTATCTTTTTTTCCTCACAGAGCGATACATAACACAGAGTAGTAATCTGAATATTCAAGGGAACGCCATGTCAAACGATGAAGCGTTCTGCTAACTTTAAAAAGTGCAGTAGTAAGAAAAAGCAAGTAACAGGAGGATAAAAAAGCGACGATGCCCACAGGCGTCGATATTCAAGAGTGTGCTCATCTCAGCTTACGACGGTATATCAATTGTCTTATATGCAGTCCTGACTTATACACGGCGGCTTTCAGCGAAGGAAACTGGGTCATAAAGGTTTAATTGAAATCTTCATGCTCGGTAGAAACAAAGATGAATTCTAACAAAAATCGTCAGTCAGGAAGGTGCTTTGCAAAACGATGCAAATGCGAACGCCAGAAGGTGAGTTCTGGAGTCCTATTTTATTTTACTCTTCACAACCCGTTCAACCTATCTTTGCCTTTGTGATGACGCCTTCTCGCCCGCAGATCGAATTTTTTTCGAAATTAAAGTAAGTGACACCAACTATCACCATGGAAACCGGTCAGGTCAGTGGATACACTTTAACAGGAGTACGCAGTAAAATTTAATGGACATTTAGTCGCCTATTTGCGTTTCAATATAACTGCCACATTTTGGACCTACGGCTTAATTAAATCCAAATAATTAGTGCGAGTTATGGATGTGCGCGTACGTAAGTCCATACTTCCGGATAAAATGTTTTGATGAGTAAACGGGAGTTTTACTGTGATCCAACTTCCGCAAGCTAATTTCCATTAAGACACGGAAGATGTGATAAATTACTTGACTTTAACCCCGGAAAAAAATGTGCCTGGTGGTTAAAGTCTAAGACTACCTGGTCTGACACTAGGCAAATAAAAACATTTTTCATTAACCAAAACCATTTTCGCTTGTAATTCTAGATAAAGTCCGTCATCCGTTCGACCAACCTCAGAATACGCAACCTCAAACCCTACTATTTCACAAACTTTTTACCACGAGAACGGCATAAAATTATTTTAAATCGAGATAACACACAGCAATGACTAACACATGTTTTGTGAGTCGGAAAGCGCACATCAAGTACTTGTGCTAAACAGACGTATCTCTTCTTTAGGAATGTCGGTTAAGGATGTCTTATGAGGGAAAATTCAATTACCACAAAACCACCGCAAATTCTCAATTCCAACATGATTTTTGAAGACGATTCCAGTCTTTTTTCTTCCAGAAATAATGGAAGTCCTTCTGACCAAAGTAACCGCTAGCATGTCATGCGGCATCAATCGTACAACCATCGTCAGTATCTGATTTCAATGCGGTAAAGGTCTTTAAGAATCTCATCTCTACGAGTCGCAAACAGGCCTGACTTCTACTAATGCGCCATCCGTTTCAAATCAGGTAGATGAGAGAGGGCAACACCTTGAAACAATCACACAAATAAATGATCTCAGTCACGCCAAGATTCCCTGAGTTGCTACCATATATGCTGGCGTCAGTGCAAGTCCATTATATGCACATTTGAGAAACTTGGAGCCTACATTTGCACACAAGTACTTGCGCAAAGCCTGTCCCTGAGCATTGTAAAAAGCAGGAAGCTCCGTCAAACCTAGGGAAGACCTTTTGTCCAGTAAGGAATTGACGTTTTGGAAACAATTTTTTAAACTGAATGAATGTTCAAGGAGGGCTAGTGAGAACATAGAAGCTGGTTCTGCGACGGGGTGGCGAACTGTTGCATGTGGTCGTCAACATGCAAGGCAAGCCCTGTGACTCGAATGAGTACTCAATCGATCGGTCAACCGTCTAGGCGGCGGCACGCAGCGTCCTGCGAAGCCCCCTCCACGCATGCGTTACTGACCGCTGACTGTTTGAGTTACGCTATAGTTTTCGTCTGTTTTAATGCTAATTTTAACTTTAAAGAAGCTTTGCTGCACGAGTGCGAGGAGCACGGACAAATAGACAATTGATTCGGATTCTTAACTAGTCTTCTTCGTTACGCATATAGACATGTGGAATTCGGTCATTCATCTTTATTCGGAGAAAGAGTATATCAACGTAGCAAATAACGGCAGCAATTTGACATTGTGGCAACAGCTACTAACGTTCAGAAGGCTATGCACACTTGCATTCGTCAAAATTAATGAAAATGAGCGAATGACATAAAATAGCAAACAATGTGACAATGTGTATGAAATTAATATGTGTGGTTATCAAAAAATTTCCTAACATCGTTCTAAATTAAAACAAACACACACATATGTATGAAAAACTGACGTAGAAAACATTTCGAAACGATATGACGAAAGGAGGAATTCGATCGGAAAAAAAGACTTTTACTCGTTAATTTTCGAGCTGGTGGCACGAACGCGTCGTCAGACGAAGTGAAAAATGAGAGGTAATAATCACCCCTCTCATTGTTCACTTCGTCTGGCGAGGGGTTGGTGCAACCAGCTCGAAGATCTACGAATAAAAGTTTTTTTCCTACGGACCTTCTCTTTTTATATATGTATTTATATATATCAACGCGAATGACGATATATAAACATAGCAGAGGGGGGACGACAGAGTCTGGGGGTAGATTGATACAGCAATGTTTCGGGCTTGTTTGCCTTCATTCAGCCAATCATGACCCTGACAACCTGCAGCTGGTACCCTCTGCTATCATAGCTTGGCCGACTTCGGCCTGGTAGGTGGTTGCCTGTTCGTGACCCCTATCGCCCATACAAAGCTTGTTTGCTTCGGGAAGCCAATGGATCGGTGTGCGCCCGTTCCTGGGTGAATAAATACCCGGTCTGCAGCGACAGAGAATGGCAGGTGGCGAGGCACTGATGAACTTAGGTTCGATGAAGTGCTTATGACCAATCTGGTAGACCCCAGTGGTGGACCAGCTGCGCCAGGTGCGTCTGAGCGCATGTTTGTGTTTCCGGTACCAGCTGCTGGTGGTCAGGTTTATGATTGGCTGAATGAAGGCAAACAAGCCCGAAACAGTGCTGTATCAATCTACCCCCAGACTCTGTCGTCTCCCCTCTGCTATCATAGCTTGGCCGACTTCGGCCTGTAGGTGGTTGCCTGTTCGTGACCTCTATCGCCCATATGAAGCTTGTTTGCTTCAAGAAGCCAATGGATCGGTGTGCGCTTATTTCTGAGTGAATATATAAATATACATATGCGAATAAATTGGAACGCTGGCATCCCAAGAAAAAAATTTGAGATCAAATACGTTCTTTGGGAAAGATAAAAAACTTCATTGAGTAAATTTTCGACGTCGGTTCTCCGTGTCGTCGTCAGACTAGAGGTTATGTGCAGAAAACAATTAACATTTCAAACGTGCAACAAAAGCAATACTCATTTGATGCCTCAGCTAATAAGTTGCCGTCGTATGTGTCAGGCCGTATTGATCGGCTTTCGTCTCTTCCACTTTTCTCTGAGATTTTTGAAAGTGGCATCTAACTCGATATGCTGGTTGATGCATTATTTATCAGAGTGCATGGTTTCAAGAAACTCTCGGCCATTTTTAGATGGGCTAACCCCGACGATGCGAGTTTTGTCCCATACGAAAGTGTGCCCAGTATCAAGAGTGTGCATGGCTATTTGAGACAAGTGGTCTCGCCTGTTAGCTGCAAGTTGATGTTCGTGGATGCGTGTAGAGGCAAATTTTCCCGTTTGGCCACAATATACGGCATCAGAGGCATCGCATGGGATCTTATAGACGACTTCTTTTCTATTGAGATAGCCAATCCTATCCTTAGGGTGTACAAGCTGAGTGCGTAAGGTAGTCGTCGGCTTGTGCGCCACTTTTATCTGGTGTTTCCTCAAGTGTCTTTCAACAAGTTCAGATACATTCCTGATGTAAGGAAGGATTTGCTAAGTGTTTGTTTTGGGCGCTTGATTTGAACTATCTAGTTCCTTTGTTTTTAGCTCTTGTTGTCTCATGCATCGATGTACGAAATCTCTAGGGTAACCGTTTTGGGAAAAAAATCAAATAGGTAGTTTAGTTCAACTTTGTAGCTTTCTTCATCAGCGCAATGTGTTTTTGCTCGATGAATCAGACTTTTGGCAGTGCTCCGCTTGTGAGAGATCGGACTGTTGCTCTCATAGTGTAAAATTGTTTCCGCATATGTCTCTTTGCGGTAAACAGACGTATGTAATGTTCCGCCGAGAACATCTAGAAATGGGAGTTTATTGTCAAGTTCTTTTTCCAACGTGAATTTGATTCGCGGAATGGTTGAATTGATTGTGTTGTGGAGTATTTCTAGTTGATTCTTTTTAACGACGACAAACGTGTCGTCTGCATATCATACTAATGGAAGAGCCACCGATTTCAATTTCTGCATTGTCGCCTCGGCAAGAAAGCCAGATATGGGTGATCCCATTGGAGCACCTTTTAGTTGTTGATAATATTGGTGATCGAACAAAAAATTGATTTCTAAACAAAGGTCCATAAGTTCAAATAAGGCAGCTGCAGGAACATCCGTGTAATAGAACTTTAGGTGTTCATCTGTACATTGCGTCTGAGTTAACAGACGATACAACGACGATTATTTTTCCGATGTGCATAATATTTACGGTTAACAAACTCTCCACTTACTACTGTAGAGAATACTTGTGAGATTTGCAGACGAATTCCGTTTCAGGTACAAATTCTGCAACTTAAGGTGAGTTTGAGGAGAACAAAAATAAAAACCGCCTTAAGTAAACGAACCTGCTATACGGGCAACAAAATGCAGAGCAGGCAACCCTGCAGCTGGATTTACGAGGTCTGAAACAAACAGAAGAGCCAAGCTCGCCCTACTCCCACGGTCGCAAAGCGACTCAGCCCTCGCTATGAGGCCGCTGTAGGTTGGACGGCGGGAACGCAACCCAGCCACAGACCCTAACTAGTTTTCCTTTCCCACCCTTCACTGTCTGACTACAAAGCTGTTCACACGCTGTCAAACTCGAATAACCTGTTGTGGAGGACTCCTGTAAAAGTCCAAAAACGCAGGCTAATGAAGCAGCTGTTTTAAAGACCGCGCAAGCACCGTCGCTGTAACAAGGACTGGAAGTCGCATTTTCTCACCCCCATACGTGAAGCGTAAAACAAATTGGATAGCGATCTGAGGTGGGCAGAAAACGTACTCGGAAGATTGGGGAACATTGGTCGCGACGCGCGGGTTGTGCCGAAGTCGTTGGGTCGGAAAATGGCTGGTTCCGATGAAGGAGGAGGAGGCGGAGGAGGAGGTGTAGGGGCGTCAAACTCGGTTTCAGGTGAGGTGCCTATTTCGTTCTCCCGACGTATCTCGTTGAGTTGGGGAATGGCGGTCCGTGGGCTATTCATGATCTTTGCGGATAAGAGTGAAACAGGAGGGCGACAGTGTTGTTAAAACCAGTGCGTGTATGAGCATCAAACTCAAAACGGCATTGGCAGCATCGTGGAGACTGTCCACCGGCGGAGTAGGGCAAAATTATCCAGTATACTAACCCCAACAATAATCCCAATGAAAAACTAAACTAAACGGTAGTCCTGACTCTAACCCTACCCTAAGGCTGATCTCTTCAGTTACCACTAGCTCCCACCTAAACCCTAGACTTCATCCTACTTACCTTACCATTAGCAATAAATCTAGCCCCAGAACTGATCCTTAATCTAATCGTAGCCCTAACCTGACACGCACAACCCTATTTGCACTACAAACTGGCTTAAAGTCCCCCGGGTTCTGTTAGAGGGGGGCCATATAGGACAGTCTCACCGAGGAATAGATTAAATTGTGATCTCGCTACCCTAATAATAAATTATGTAGATCGTCATATCGGATGCGGTATTTGGGAAATTCCGCTACGTTTCGATAAGATGTTTAAGCGTTTTGGGCGGGACAGCCGTGCGAAAGCGGAAAAAGGAGCAGAGTTTTAGTTGGTCCAAATGCATGCCATCTAGAGGCCACTTATTTCAATTTCCAAGAGTCAATTATATTTAAATATTGCGGCCTGACTTCATGACGACTACTAAGGCACGAAAGGAGGTGCCAATAGCTGAACCCAAGAAAAAATGTAACAACAATGCTAGGAGGTGCTAATCCCTTCATATTGGACTGAGAAACTGATGACTTTAAAAACACCCTTAAATTATTTTGCAACTTCAAAGATGGTGGCAGATGTGAATAAACACATAATAAGAGTCTTCAAGTTAGAATGATATTACCGACAAAGACAAGGGAGACTGGAATGGCCATTTCTGGCTTATTAGCCGTCGTCAGCCAGCCATACCCGAACCCGAAGTGTGGAACACCCGAGCCTCGAACTCACGACTTGTTGGTTTAGAAGTCAACGCCTCAACTCACCGGGCCACGAGCCCGTTTCCCTGTCGGTTTTCGATCGAGAATATACAATTTTAGGGGGCGCTCACCGATCGTTCATACGGACCTCACTCGTTCCGTTGCCTATATATCATGCGCCGCTGCGCGGCTGCTGGTTGGGTTCGAGAGAGAGCCCATAAGGCACAACGGAACGAGTGAGTTCCGTATGAACGATCGGTGAGCGCCCCCTAACACAGTCTTCAAGTTATTTGAGCAGCGTCGAATTTCGCATTCCTCTAATAAATGCAGGACTTAAGGAAAACTACTGATATCATCAGACGGGGAGTAATTGAATGCTTGTGTGGAAAACTCTAGTTGGAAACATCTCTTTTGAACAGTAACCAGTCACCAAAGCGCTCTGATTTCTCGAAGAAAAAAAAGACCATCAAGCTCCTTTGGTATATCTAGCGGGTGTCAGGAAACCCAAAACGTCTTCACGATATGCCTCTGCCTAGTTAAGACTATAGGGGTTTTTTAAATTACCATAATAGCTAAGGTTTCTCAACTGGAACAAGTCCTTCCCGGCTCGATTAAAACAAATCAACAAAATAAAAAGACAAATGGCCACTTTTGATGGTATATCAATAAGCAAATGTCTCTATCCAGGGATGAATATGCGGACATGGGCGCTAGCTGGATTCCTTTGTTCCGGCCTAGTTAGTGTTCCATGCGAATATCCCGAAATCACAAAAGTTAAGACACACTTTCTTCTGGGGACCCAACAAATGACAGAAATCGTTTCTACCTGCATTGATTATTCCAGCGTGCTTGGCCGTGATTACAGGCACAACATTCGTGGTTCAAAAATCAGTTTTTTCTACGTTTTGTGCAAGTTAGATCTACATTTAGCGCCTATTCTTTGGTAGTCTCTCATCAGTAGTGATTAAAACATAAAAGTAAGTTCGCCTCAATCCGGCCTTCCGTTATCTGCGTTCTGTTAACGACCTACATTATAAATTCCTGGGAACTGCCAAACACACCGGCAACATGCCCTGTCCAATTTATCGGCCATGAAGTTTCCTCGACCGCTTCAACCCCAATTCTGTTAAATCGTCCTAACATATCACTGCATTTTGAAATTTCTGCATTTCTCACACCGCCTGATATGCCGTCAGTCGCCACGGTGGAGCCTGCAGACGTCAGATGTATCCTACCCCTAGAACGATTTTCTCGGGAGATCCGATTTAGGCCTCGACAATTGTGAAACTACTTTCAGTTGAAGATTTTTTCATTTAACTGCCAGATCCACATTTTCTACTTAACACTCTTGCAATTTTACAACCTTTGCAGCATTAGATGTTGCACGAAAAGCTAACTGTTTCTGCAGCATGAATTTGGTGATGCAATAAAATTATTTTGACCGAAATCTTAAAAACAAGTATGAGGTCAGAGTTTATCACTTTTTCTTTGTTGATTAACTGGTAGCGTGCAGGGTCTTCCTCTGGAAGGTGAAAGTGTCTTGGAGCCATTTATGTTGAAGGCATACTGGATACGTTTTGGATAAAAAAAACAAAATTTCTTCAGTCCCGGAACGTTTCCATGTTATACAGCTTTTCACATTCAAGGCCGCATGTTTGTGACCGGTCTGCTGTAAAAAAGCTGCCAAAAAAAGCTGTAAAAAGGCCAGAAACGTCTGTAGCAAGTGCCTTCTCGGACCGAGAAATCAGATTTTGTTCAGATGCGAATCAGGAGGGGCTAGGTACACGGAATAACATTTTTTTCGATAAATGAAGGGCGCCTTCTGCTTTAAAAAGTCCTGCTATGCAAATCAGCGGTATAATGTGCCACAAAGCACTGTAATACGGTTGGCTGGTAGTTTGTTTTATTAAGTACGAAGGTGGTGCCCACGACTTTCAAGTTACTGTGTCTGCAGCCTTACCTCAACGGATAGAGATCGCAGCGGCAGATGGACTGTCGTTTGAGTTTAGAATAGGGATGAGCACTCTAGCAATCTAGCACCAATAGAACATTTAACAAACAAACGGCGACTTTTTTCTCTAACATAACAACGTAGTCTTGCCAGTTCATAAAATGAATTAACAGAGAGACGTTTTTCGGCACAAAAAATGGCCGGAAGCTAGGAAAGCCACGGCAAAACCACTTTTAAACTAGAACCTAATTGGCGGGCATATTTTGCAAACTGACAGTCTGACCGAAGGTTTCGACGGAGTCCACAGTGTGGACTATAACGCTGTTAGAGCAGGGACGATGACTTGCGCGTAAATTAGTCCAAAGTGGCGGTAAACTTGCGCAGCGTCTACCGCACTCTCTCCTACTCTCCAACCCAGATCCAGTGTCAAGACCAGGTCAAGAATACCGGGGGGCGGGAGAGGGCGCAGGTGACTGGCATGGCGAGAACCGGCACCTTGGCATACATCCGCATCCCCTGGTCTACAACCAACAGTTGACGAGACTTTTCAAAAATGACGAAAACTGTGGCCGGCAGCGATCCCAATTAGCTCCGCATATGCCCGCAGCCGCTTCTGACAGCCCAGCCCCGAGTGACGGCATTTGTTATTGGTGCGCATTCACGATCCGGACTGCGATCCATCCGCCGTATTATATCATCGTATCTACCGGGTGATAGGCTTTGGAGGTAGATTTTGCAATGCAGCAGGTTTAGCATCGCCTCTACTTATCTTTTGAGTATGAAGTTGGAAGAAGACGTGCTTTTCTACCGAATAAGTAAAAGAATGAATATTTTTATGCATGTTTTCCGTGAAATATAATTGAATTTTCAAGGGCATCGAAAATCAATGAGAAAATTGCATACTACATAAGTAGTAATTTTTGCAGAGTATAGATCTTGCATGCAGCCGAAAATAAGTTCTTTTGGAAGCCGACACCCTGAGGTAACTGGATCGTTATAGATTTATGCTGCATCCTGATTAGTTTTACAGCACTACTTAATTTATCTTTTCGAAATGAGAACGCATTTCGAAATTTTGTTTTCGAAACGAGAATGCATTTTGAAATTTTGGTTGACATTTCATGAATTAGTACATCTACTGTATTTTCTAGACGGCACAGAAGATCAAATACGTGGAAAAATTTCAGGAACTATCGTCACCGGGTTGTCACAACAGCCATCGTGTTCACTGGGGAAAACAACGACAATCATTAGCAGAGAGGCATTGATCAACATCGTAATGGTTGCCTTCGATTATAACGAAACTCGTGGACGTCGAGGGGACACCTCAATGCCAATAAAAGCGAAGAGACGGGTCCCAAGAAGTATTCTTGAAGAAACAGACATAATCGCCGAGACAAGAGCTTTTTTAGCCTAACGTTTCGGATTCCTGTCCGAACCATAATCAGAGACAACAGCAGACACGGGTGGTTTATGCCCAAGGGGCTGCAGTATTTAGAGGATGCAGTCACCATGCTACTGCATACCTATGAACATTCACGACTTCCCCCCCACCCCTTCATCCGGGAACGTCGCACTTGGTGCGCAACGTTGTGCACTCGCGTAGCGGTCCCTGATGAAGAAGGGAGGCGTGAACATTTATAGATATGCAGTAACATTGTGACTGCGTCCTCCAAATACCTCAACTTCTTGTGCATGAACCACCCGCAGTTGCTTTTGGCCTCTAATGATGGTTACGAGCAGGAATCCGAAACGTCAGGCTAATAAGGCTTTTGTCCCAGCGATCGTGTCTCCTGCTTCAAGACTAGAACCAACGGCAACACAACCCAAAAACCATACCTGTCTAAAACTTCATTCGTAATGTTTATCATATAGCGACAATTTACAGTCAATAAGTCGCCCAACTTGTTCTTTCCAATACATTCAACTGTATATGATTGTTTCACCTTCATACAGGGGAAATATTGCTTCAAATGATCGGCATTAGCACGCCGACTTAGTAATCCTTTCAGATCTAAAATATATTTCAAAACTTCGACACACGTTTTAAGTGATGGAAAAGATAACCATCAAGAGATGCTGCATAAAAGTGCTGCTCTCCTTATATTGTAATGT